TATTGGTCACTGACATCCAAACATACCAGCCAGCTCTTTGCACCTGGTCTACCCAAGTGAAAATAATCTTCTATGTAGCTTTGTAGAAATAGTGCAGCATTTACAGGCAGGTTAAATTGCAGGGTATGACCAGCAAGGAGAGGTGGGGGGGAAAATCCACTAGGGGGAAATTATTAAGTTTTGAAGCCAGATTCCCATCCTCTGTTGGAGCTGATCCCTCCCAGACCAGACACCAGCCTATATTACCAGTCCAGAAAAGCAGAAGCTGGATCTCAAAAAGAGGAGACAGTGTAGAAGAAGAGATGGACCTTGGAATAGAGGAATATTTCAAGGAAGGAGGAAGAGACCCAGGTCAGCTCCCTAGTAGAGGCACAAATTGAGCGAGTCAGAAATCCAACAGCTTTCTGACGATAAAACAGCTCTCCTTCTTTGTGCCTGAGTGTTGGGGGTCCTTGGGTGACACCTTAGCTCTTGCTTAGCCTAGAAGGGGAATCAGAAGAGGCAGAGGCTACAGAGAAGGAGAGATGGCACTAATAGAGACAGGGCAGAGGTGGGTACCCAGGGGCAGTGGCCTGGACCAGCTGGAGCAGGAGCGTGGTGAGTGGGCAGAGACTGGAGTTGGCAGTCACATGGTAATTATTCAAAGGGCTTCAAGTACCTTCGGATCCCCAAATTTCAGGGACAAAGGGCAGTCTCAATGAGACAAGAGGACAACCTAGAGGACAAACAAGTTGGGGTTGGAACTCTGGAGTCTGGAGATGCTCCGTGTTCCCAGCTCTTCCCTCCCTAAGAGTGAGCTGCCCTTGCCCATCGATGGTCCTTGGCAGCTTTGGCCGCTGGAATGACTGTACTGGAAACGCCCCTTGCACAACCGCTGCATTGATAAGGCCTCACGTTACTCCCGTGCGCAGGAACTGGTGCCCTCCAAGGCTCTCCAGCCCTTGCCCCTAGCCCCACCCTCGTTGGGCTGCAAGAAGAAGCGGAGGCGACAGCTGGGCAGAGGCGCCCGAACACACTTTATTCCGATATCCCGCCTAGGAAGGCGGATGGCACTCAGAGCGCCAAGGAGTGCCCGGGAGAGGCTGTACATCTTCTTCCCATGCCCTCCCCTACCCTACCCTTTAGGGCCACATCAAACGAAGCCTCGGAAAGACTAGGTCTGTTTTGCTCACTAAATTGCGTCTTTAGCCTTTTCCGCCTGCTGAAGCTGGAGCGGTCGCAGGCCTTGTAGCCGGGCGGCCAACGCCAAACGCAACGCGGCCGGGCCCTTCAAGAACCGCCTAGACCTTGAAGTTTAGAAAAACAAGAAGAGATTAAAAGGGCTCCCTCCCTTCTCTACAGACACACACGCACCGTCAGGCCGCCGCCACTTCCTGCCTTTGTTTTTCATCCTCCAAAACATTTTTGGCCTCTTGCTTTAGCCGCTGTGGGGCTCTGGGTTGACGATAAAAGGAAATACGCGCCGAAGACTGTTTTCTAGAGATGGCCGCGCGCTTTAGGCGCTCCTGAGAAAGAGCGGCTCCTGGGCCAATATTACAGTCCCTACCAGGCGCGTCCTCTTCAAAAAAAGCAAGTCGGACTTGGCCTTCCCGGGCAGCCTTGGCTCCAGCCGGGTCTTCCCGGGATCTCGGTAAGCTCAGCTCGGTTGTTGGGCCTCCTGCAAAGCAGAAGAGTCAATTAGGCTAAGAGCAAAGTGAAATTCAAGGACCAGCAGCTCTGCCTTCCCTTCTTCCCCGATTTGGTCTGGTCATCAGAGCTGCGCTCCTCCCTGTCCTGTGCCTGGTGCAGCGTGTACATGGCGTTATATTCTGGGTAAGAGGTGTAGGAGCGGGCAAAATGGAAAACGTCGCGCAGCCTTGAAGATCCGAGCACCCCTCCTGCCCCTGCTGGGGAACTCAAAGCGGCCCCAGGCATTTTCTTTTCTCTCGGCATCAAAAGCCTTTTCTTCATTCACCTTCACGGCAGGCAGCGCCCCTACAGCCCCCTCTTCCAGGCTGCAAGTCCCTGGTACAGCGCCTCGGTTTAGCATCCCCAATGGCCCTGCCAGTCGCTTCCAGAACACCTTTCTTCACCCCCAGCGTTGTCTCGGGAATTAGCCTTTGTCTCTTCTAGACACCCATAGGATTCAGACCTCCTGGCTCTCTCAGCTTGGCCCTCCAAGAGGACGTGGGAGGCATAAGTTATGTAGAGCAGCACACACACCCCATACAAACCTTTCCGCACGGACCCCATCTTCCTGCACCAGGGGAAAACGATCTAATTAGCCAAGGGGCTGCAAGAATCTGGGGAGAGGAAGCTGGTTGGCGTCCCCAGCTGGCGGCGGCTGGGCCACTGTGGCCGTCTGCTTAGGCACAAGCTGAAGTTGACTGCCAAAACTGCTATAAAACCGCAGGTCTGTCTAGAACTGTTTTTGGTTCTCCTAGACGCCCCGGGTTCAATTATGGTCTTAAAAGCCCTCATACAAGTGCAAGAATTTGTTTGCCTTCACCCAGGGGCAGGGTGAGCCCCTGCAATGGTGGCGCCTTTGTTATAGCAAAGTCACTGGAACCTCTCAGGCATTCCTTTTGTTCAAGGTTCAGGGTGGTGGGGACTGGGTGGGCCGATGGGAGACAGTTTGGGATGGCCAAAACTCAGGCCAGAGGATAACTGTTCTGCTGTTTGTAAACCTCTCCTTCTCTCTTCTGTTTTGTCTCTAAGAAAGAGATGCTGTAGACAACAAATATTTTGCCCTTTTGGTTATTGCTAGGAATCAAAGTGTTTTGTTGTTGTTTTGTTTCCCCTTGCAAAACAATCCTGTAAATGTGGTTTCCAGCTTTCTGGGATTTCGGCTCCCTAGCCACCAGATCTCAGCCACACCACGGAAGCCCTCTGCACAAGCCACAGTGTGCAAATATGTCAAGCTGAAGATGCACAAATAATTTCAAGTTCATCTCCCAATGATTCAAGGGGCATAAAAGTTCTGGTAGCAAATCCTGAATAAAGAGTTCATTAAAACAATGTGTCCAGAGTAGCTTGATTTGCGATAACCAACCCTTGTAAAGGGGAGTGGGGGGAGAGAAGGAGCCACATAAACATTAATGCTAATAAAGTAGTTTGCTCCACTATCGAGTAATGACCTGATATTATTGATACTTACAATAGGTATTCAGATGGTTGGCCAGTATTTTGGAAAAATACATAATGAGAATATTTCTTTTCCAGTGCAATGCACGGTTAGATTTGTTATTCAGTCAGCTCAGCAATAAATAAATAAATCGATGTTGACATTTAAATACCAAAGATCTTAGAGTTTATACTCTAAATCTCCCCAAGATATGTAAATACCTTCTGCTGTTTCCTGAACAGGGAAAGGGAGAAAGGTTATCCTTTTTAATTTTCCAACTTTCCTTTAGCAATAGCCCAGCTCCTTTCAAGAAAAGTGGTGTGGGGAGGCCTCAAACTGCTCCCCCCTTCCCAGCTCTGGGATCTGCCTGCGTGCTCGGTGCTCTTTCGTTTCTTTCACTTCTTTGCTCATCGAATGCGAAGGACCAGGAGCATTTTTCCACTTCTTTTTTGTCTGTCTTTCCTCTTCCTAAGAAGTGTGAGTACAACACTAACAGCTTTAACGTTTCCATCTTTTGCTGGAACCTCGCTTTTTTGAGTCTTAGTTGCCCAAGGTGGAGACTTTGTGAATCGCTTCTCATTATGAACACAATGGCATTGTGTTCATTCTGTGGGATGAGGAGCAGGAAAAGCGCCGAGCCATCTGAGTTTCTGCCCTGCCCATCTTCGGCTTTCACTCTCAAGCTTTGTTGAGGAAGGAGAGGAGGCTTGTTACCCATTCCTCAGCACAGATCCCTAGCTGTCGCCCCCTCCTAGCCGCCCCCCACCCTCCCCGCATCCCTGGAGCTCCGCAAGCAACCTGGTTAGCACCCCTACAGAAGGTGCAGCCTCGCCAGGAGAAGGCTCTTTGGATGTCAACGCCTCTAAAGCAGCCGCATCCTCGCTTCAACTGCATGGCTTCCCGAGTCCTCCGCGCCAAAAGACCAGGCGGGCAGGCGGACCGGTGCGCAGCGGCGAAGCCCAGCGCCTCTCGCTCTGCCCTGTGCATCCACATCCCGGTGGGCAGAGAATGGGAGGAGGCTGCTTTAAGGGGAGGAGGAAGTGAGGAGGACTAAAGCGAGCATGAAGGGAGAGAGGGATCCCGGGTGAGACGAATGCCCTTCCGGGCCCTGAGGATCCCCGGTAGCCCGCGGGGGAAGCCGCCCAGTCTGATGGCGGTTAAGGGACGGAAGGTATTAAGGCGCTTCGGAAGTGAACATTAATGCGAGCGTGTAATCAAGTCACCGTGCAAATCGGACAAGCTACGAGGCCGGCACATCCACGGTTGCGAACCCTAGCCCCGAAGGGGGTCCGGCCAGGGTCAGAGGCAGAAGTGGTTCCTTGAGTAAGCCTGTGGAGAGGGGGGCACGGCAGCAAAGAAGGGGACGCGCACGCAAGACTCCGGGAAAATGGGCTCTAAGATCACGGGCTCAGTTCAAACGGGCTCCCACCCGACCACCCTCAATCCAGGGCATCCCTCACCCGAGGAGAGGGGGCGGGGGTTGAGCTCTCTCACCGCCCTCGGCTCCACTTGAGGGCCGGGAACAGGCAGCTGAGCGCAGGCGAGCGGGATGGGGGCGCACCCCAGTCTCGTCGCGCGCCGGGAGGCCCCCAGCCAACATGAGTTACACCGGCGATTACGTGCTTTCGGTGAGAACACCGAGTGACGATCTGTTGCTTCCCCTGAGGTGGCTACAAAGAAAGGAAGCCGGGGAGGGGGGTGGGGAGGGAAGGAAAGGGAGAAGAAGGCAAAAAAAAAAAAAAAAGAAGAAGAAGAAAAAAAAAGGCCTAGACTAGCTCGCAGCTTGTCAATTTCAACATCGGGTCACATGACCAGCACCTCCCTGCTAAGGATGGGGATAGATTTCCACGTCAGCTTACGTCTCCAAATTTCTACTTCACGGATCCGCTTCAAAGAGGCAGCTGCAGTGGAGAATCATGTTAAGCTCGGCTACTGCGGAGAGCCCAAGGTAGCCCAATAATGGATTTTGATGAGCGTGGTCCCTGCTCCTCTAACATGTATTTGCCAAGTTGTACTTACTACGTCTCCGGTCCAGATTTCTCCAGCCTCCCTTCTTTTCTGCCCCAGACCCCGTCTTCGCGCCCAATGACATACTCCTACTCCTCCAACCTGCCCCAGGTCCAACCCGTGCGCGAAGTGACCTTCAGAGAGTACGCCATTGAGCCCGCCACTAAATGGCACCCCCGCGGCAATCTGGCCCACTGTTACTCCGCGGAGGAGCTCGTGCACAGAGACTGCCTGCAGGCGCCCAGCGCAGCCGGCGTGCCTGGCGACGTGCTGGCCAAGAGCTCGGCCAACGTCTACCACCACCCCACCCCCGCCGTCTCGTCCAATTTCTATAGCACCGTGGGCAGGAACGGCGTCCTGCCACAGGCTTTCGACCAGTTTTTCGAGACGGCCTACGGCTCCCCGGAAAACCTCGCTTCCTCGGACTACTCCGGGGACAAGAGCGCCGAGAAGGGGCCCCCGGCAGCTGCGGTGACCTCCGCGGTGGCGGCGGCGGCAGCGGCCCCCGGCGTGACTGCAACTTCAAGTTCGGACGGCGGTGGCGGCGGCGGCTGCCGGGAGGCGGCGGCGGCGGCGGAGGAGAAGGAGCGGCGGCGGCGGCCGGAGAGCAGCAGCAGCCCGGAGTCCTCTTCCGGCCCCACTGAGGACAAGGCCGGCGGCCCCAGTACGTATAAAGGCAGCGCCCTGCGCTTTATGAAAGGGGAGTTGGAAATTTAGCGCAGCACCGCTGTTAAATTTTTATATGCTGTTTTATAAGCATATAAGGTTTATGAAGGGCCTTTAGGTTTCCCCCAACAAAACTTTGTTATAAAAGGCGCGATCACGTGGCGAGTGCTGAAATTGGCCGTGAAATACCCACCGGCCAAGGCATGCCTGCAAAAAAAAAAAAAAAAAAACTTCTTTTTTCCCCTTTTCCCCTTTTCTCTGTTCCCAAGCCCGCCAGCTCGACCCCGCTCGCTCGGGGCCAGCTCGGGACTGGGGAGCCGGAGGTGGGCGCCTGTAAATTCCCTGGGCCAGGACTCCGGGAGCCTTTGATAGCAAGGTAATCCCGAGATTTTTATAAAAGCCATGTGTTGCGCCGGGACCCTAGCGCCGCCGGAGATTCAAAGGCATCGCTGTTTAACGATGGCGCTAGGAGCGTGTTGAACAGATAAAGTAGCCCGCTTAGCTAGAGTAATATATTAAAAGAAACAAATTAACCCAAAGTTGGCCTCTTTTTTGTCCAAAGGAAAGCCATTTTCCCCCGATGCGGTGCCAATTACGTGCCGCTTTCGGTCTAACTGCATGTTACAATTGTTAATCTGTCAAAAACGGATTTTCTTTCTTTCTTTTAAAGTCTTGTGGGGTTTCATGAAACGAGGAGGAAGCTGAAGCTGCCTGCAGCTTTGAAAAGCCCCACATTGCCACTACTAAACAGAAAATACCACTCCCGGCCCTGTCTAAGGGCCAGGGTGGCTGTGTGGGGAGCTGTGCCCAGTGATGCCCAGGGTAGGAGGCTTCGCCGCCACCTTTCCACTTCCCGGGAGCCCAGACGCTGGCGGGGGAGGCAGGGGCTGGTGGTCAGGGCTCAGGCTTGCCGCCGACAAAGACCCGGCAGCCGCCCCAGATGTTAACGAGGGCTGAGAAGTCACGAGCATACCGCGGTAAGACTGGGGCTGAAACCTCCTTTCACTGCCTGCGACTGGACTGCCCAGGTGCTGGAAGGTGAAATTTCCGCGTGCGGCTGTTTGTTTAGTCTGGCGAGGCCGGAGGCCGCCCGCAACCCCCCCTGGGCTGCTTTGAAAATTGTTTCGGTGGAGCAAACTCGTCTGTTGCTTGTAAGGAGTCTTCTTTTCTGTTCTGGGTGTAGTGGGAACCGCTTCCCCAGGGGCCTATCTGGGGAGCTGGCTTTTATCTGGGGCTGAGCCTTCCCCTGCAGTTTGTCCCCAAATCGGCAGTGGTCTAAGTGCAGAGGGGTCTGGGGAGACCAGGAGGGGGTTAGAGCAAGGGATGCAGGCCTGAGGCCAGAGCCTTCTCTTTAGTTTGAGCGCTGGGATTGCAGCCCTGAAATCTGACTCACCCCTTGCCTCTTTCTCCCTCCACAGGTGGCCAACGCACCCGCAAAAAACGCTGTCCTTACACCAAGTACCAGATCCGAGAGCTGGAACGGGAGTTCTTCTTCAGTGTCTACATTAACAAAGAGAAGCGCCTGCAGTTGTCCCGCATGCTCAACCTCACCGACCGGCAAGTCAAAATCTGGTTTCAGAACAGAAGAATGAAGGAAAAAAAAATTAACAGAGACCGTTTACAGTATTACTCAGCCAATCCTCTCCTCTAAGACCCCAACCACCTGGGATGGGGCTGGGGGGGGGGTTCATACACTGAGATTATATGCAGTTGTCACCCTTGACAAGGTCAAGCCACATTGGGACTTTTGAAGAGAGGAGGTGTGCAAAAGAAGGGAGGCTAGCCGAGATAGGCCCGCGGAGGTGGCCTGGGACTTGCTTGGGCGGGCGTCATGATTAATATTCTTAATAATGGAAGAGCTGAATGGTTTGAGACCCCTGGTGGTTCACTGTTAGAGCCTTCAGAGTTTCGGGCTGGGTGTGGTCTCCACCTGGGACTGGGCCCCCTGCCAGGCCTCCCTGAGGCCTACTCCACATGGAGCCTGCCCACCCCCAGGACCCCTGAGTCAGGAAGCCTTGAAATCCCTCAACCGGTTTCAGCTCCAAGACAGGGGCAGGAGGAAGGGGGAGGATTCCTTGGAGAGTGGCAATCCAGACTGGTTTCCAAAGTCAATGTGAAAGGCGACTGGACTAGAGGGCTGCAGAGTCTTTAAGAAGAAGAAGAAGAAAATAGACTATTCCAGATGGTGGTCATGATATTCCACCCCTCCAAACTGCCCACTATGGAGAGCAGGAGCTCCTAGCAGCCACCATTTATGGCCACCTGGCTTTTCTTCAACACAGGGTCTTCTCTTGGCCTGCAACTTTGAAGTAGAAAGTTCCGAAGCCCTGTGGGTCCCAAGGCAGACCATTTCCTAGGTAGAAGACACCGAAAAAGCCATGAGGCTGTGTCCAGGCCGCCGGAGCGCCCTTTCTGCAGGAAATGCCTGTGGAGAGTATTAGCTTGGCAAAATCTTCACAACATTTAATTGAAACTTGGATTTGTTCAGCATCCAGCAGTGGGGCAGCAGGGCACAGGCCTAGCCAGCAGTCCCCAGCTATGAGGGGCTCAAGCCCTCCACAAAACACCCTGCTCCAGTGCCACACTCTGCCCTCCAGGAACCCCAGAACTTCACTTGGACGGTTCCAGTGACCTCCCAAAGCTTGGGAGCAGTTTGGATAATATTTTAAAAGATAAATATTATATTATATATATAAATATATATTTCCCTGCAGGAACCAAAGCGAATTTTAAAAGATGCAATGTAGAAGGGGATAAAAGATGATGAAAATATTTAAAAGCTCTATCTGTTTACAGTGTACCACGGTTAAACTCACTCACTGCTAAGAATATTTGAATGTACGCTTCATACAGGGATAGTGTTCAAAGACTTGTAAATAAAGGAACCATAACCTATTTTGCTTGAATATTTTTTTTAACCATTAATTGATTTCCTTTGGGATGTTGGAAGGGGTGGGAAGTAGGTGGGGTATTTTAATATCTTGCTATTTTTGGAAAAGCTTTAGAAGGATGCTTAGAAGGACCTGGCTGGAAAAGTCAGGCACTTCTTGTTGCATCTCCTGTTTCCCTGTGTTAAGAAATGTCTTGTGTTTGGCTGTTTGTAAGGAGCGTGTTGGTCTGTCCTCCGCTGTCACCCAACATGTATGTTGTAGCATGTATACAGGCGAAGGGGCACAAGGAAAATAAAGATGGTGGAAACTTAAGTGTTGGGTTCTGGTGTGCTATTCCTCTCCCTGTTCACTTTTTACTACCATATGTCTATCTACCCCACTCCCACCCCAGTACCCCTTACCAGTGAAAGGGCAAGTTACTAGAGGGTTGAGGGTGTAGAAGCCAGATTTAGGAAGCCAAGGTGGCTGGCTATATTCTTGTGCAAAGTCGGGAGTCCCAGGAAAAGTGTGCTTCAAGGCCTGGAATGTGGTGTCTCACTCCCATCAGACTGACCCTAAGCTTGGAGAAGGTCTTGGATCCTGAGGTGGCCACTTTGTCTGACCCCAGGCTGGGCTGGCTCACCTCAGGAGTAGGAGGCCTGAAGCAAACAGAACTGCTCTGGGGTGCCCTCAAGTCCCCTGAAACAAGAGGGAGACCCAGCTGAGTACCCAAGACACTCTGGTGTGCTTTTTGCCAAGCTCCCAGTTGAAGCAGCCTTTTCCCTTTAGGGAAAGAAAGATGTCGGTTTCCTCTTTGTTTGCTGCCTTTGAACTTCTGCCTTAAATTTGGACATCACCCATAACCTTGAGGGGCAGGGCCGAAAGGCCAGAGCCTTTTGTTGCCCACCCTACCCCACCCTCTCCCTAGCCACCCAGGCAGCGACCAGCAGGAAAGAGAAAGCTGCCAGACCCCCGAGACCGGCTCTGTTTGTTTGTGTGTTTGTCTAACTGGCTCAACTGGGGAAATTGAGCTGAAAAGGGAGTGAGACAGACCCCCACCCCCCAGATGAATGTCTAGGTTGATAGACATACAGAGACCAAACAAGGGTCCTTTTGGGGGACGAGGAGGCGGGAGTGGGCAGGGAAGACTCACGTTTAAGGAAAGATTTCCTTTGGGCTGGTTAAAGATTAACCAAAGTCCCATAAACTGCTTGCTAGAGAGAGTCTAGAGAGAGTCTAACCAGAAGGATTGCTCGCGGGCGGGCAGTGAGAGGGCTCCAGTTTGATTTCTGAGCCCAATAAAAGCCCATCCTCTGATGGCTGTGACAATGTGGTCGTAAACCCGTCCCGGAACGGCCAATTTGCATATTTGGAATGCGCGCCTATAAACCCGGCTGGGGTTTTGCTGCAATTTCTTAGATGTAAAAATGAGATCTCAGTAGCAGCGGGCTGGGCACATTTTCTTCCTCTCTCTCCCTGTCCCTCTGCCCAGAGTCGGCTTTCCTCTCCTGGTTTGGAGCTAGAGCTCCGGCTGGGCCAAGGCGCTCAGCTTCCACGAGATGGCGCACTTCCGATCAATGTCAAAGCCGCCGCGGGGGAGCCAGGAACCCCAGCGCGATTCTTGGCCTTTGTTCGCTTCTGATACTAAGAGCAGCACGTTACAATATTTCAGTTGTCCCGCGCCCCTTCGTATAAAAGGGGGCTTACCCTCAAGAAGTGGTTGGTGTGGTCATTGAAAGCAACGCGCCCTCACTAAGTCGCGGGCGTCGCGGCGCAGAGAAGCCCTCGGTCCCTTGGCAGTGATTTCGGAAATGTGTCAAGGTAAGAGGCCACAAGTTTAGTAATTTCAGTGTGGCTGGGCCGGGGGTGTAGAGGTGGTCGATGTTCGAGCAGGTCTAGGCAACGCGGCTGAGTTTTTGCGTTTGGGGACCATACCGTCGACGTTAGGGACCCCCTTCTTACATCGCTCCTAAGGTTGGAAAGCACGGGAAGGCCTGAGCGGAAAAGTTATTGATTTTAGATTTCTGCGCCAACTTCTCATTCCAAGGCGATCTTTCGATTTTGTAGAAATATTCAAAATGGAGCGAGTTAGGGCTGGGGTGGAGGTTGTCCAGTTAAAAGGATCCTGGTTGTTTTGCGAAAGGAGTTTGTAGGGGGTGGGGGGGAAGAAGAAAAGAAAAGGAGATGGCGGAACTGAGGAAAACAGAAAGTTTCTACTGGAAACAATAGTTCAAGCGGGCTTATTCCCTGCGTAGACATCCCGGAGCTAGCTGGTTTGCGACTAGGTACCTTCCCTAGATCTATTGAGCCATTTGGGGAAAACCTTTGTTCCATAAAAGGCCAATTCTGAGTACGCGCATTTGATTTTTGAGAGAAGCCACGGTTGGCAAAATACCTATGCGGTTTCCAAAAGCTTGCCTGAGGTTAAACTGATGAACTATCAGGGTTTTCATAAACCAAGTTTTAAATCGTCATAATTATATTTGGAGGGGGGGGAGTGAATCCTCTTCCATATTTAATTTTTATCCCCTTTTTTTCTTTATTCATTGAATTGAAATGGTTTTCTTTCCCCAAATACACAATGCATGGGTGAGTGGAGGACTTCCAGAGAAAGTATGTGTGCCTTTGTGTGTGTGTATGTGTGTGTACAAATTTTGCCTATCAAAAGCCACTCATCTTTGCTGGAAGTTGACTCTAGAATTGTGTCAGGATAAGGCAACACAGAAAAAAGTGGATGCCCAAATGGCAAGGTGCTCTCAGAAGCCCAAGTCTTCCCTAAAATCCAGACAGATGCCTTCAGTTTCAAGAGCAGCAGCGGTTTATTGTAGACAGGGCTAAGGATATTACAATTTAGGGAATTCATGAAAAGACACCGCAGCAACCACCACCAGGAAGAAAGGGCTAGCTCAGTGGTTTAATTTAGTGGGGAAAAAGTGGGTTGTTTGGGGGTGTATTTCACCTGATCAATTCAAAGCAGACCGACAGAGCAAATTTCTCTTGAAATGTTGGTGTTCTTATAGGTGTAGGCAAAAGAATACCATTGCTTAGGGAAATGTTCTAATTATGGCCAATTGCTGTTTCATGAATGTAGAAGACTTGAATTTTGGTTAAAACTGGATATATGGAAAGTGTTTGTGTTTCCTGGATCTCTGGATCTCGACATAACACAACTCCACAGTTTCCCTGAATAATCCTAGGCCTGAAAGCATTGTGAGGGACCTCCAAGATACATTTACTGGCTATATCAATTTAAGGATTTAGTATAATTTTAAAAAGAATAACTTGTTTCCTTTAATAACAACTCAATAATTCTATAGCTTGCAAGGGCCGACTCAGGAAGAGAAATTAGCAACTGTAGCATTATCTTCACCTAACATCCCTCCCCGCTCCCACGTCTGGCCTTTACTTGGACTTCCATACATAGCTTTGGGAGAAGAGGGAGTTGTCACCCAGGTAGAAATGGATATTTACCCCCTTATTTGTGTTTTACCACTGCTGGGTAACTGCAAAACAGGCATGGTTGAGGCAGGCAGGCACTGGGGGGTTTAGGTCAAAGGCATTTAGTAGTCAGAGGAGGGAGAAAGGGTGAGAAAGAAAGAAGACCAACTGGGTAATGGGGGAGAGAGAGAAAGTGGTCAGAAGGGGACCCTGGCTGCAAATGAATTGCTTTTCTTAATCTTTCTGGGGTTGGGGGGGGCAGTCCATAAATGGGACTATTTTATTGAGGAAGCTCACACCTAGGTGTTATGGTTTAGGGTGCTTGGAGCCTTGGTGTCGGTCAGAGATACTGGGGATTCCAAAGACCTCCGAGGAGTGCAGCCCTCAAACAGCAACTGCAGGCCAGTCCGTGCCTGGGCACTTCCGCAATCTCCTACAGTCTCCCACTATGGCCCCCACCTCCACCCCCCCAAACACACACATGCTTACACACTTTTTAATTTTTAGTTAATGAAAGAAAAGGCCTAACTCCAACATTCTCCTTTGGTTTATTACAAGGGGAAAAGAGTGACACTTGAGAAGAGCATCTGGATCTCCCCAAAGACTGTTGAAGACCCAAGTGCCAATGCCACTGCCTACAGCTGGAGCAGTACCCAGCTGACATTTGTAACCTTGGTTAGCACGTGGGTGCTCCTGCTTCTGGATCCTAACCAGCCTCCAAGCCCATTTGGCTGCTGTCTGGGCCCTGATGGGAATCAGGCCTGAGCTCTGGTAGTGGGGCATCAAGTTTGTCCCACCAGCAAGCTGGCGGGTTGTCTGAGTCTCAGAAAAGCCAGAAAAACGGTATAACAGGGCATTTTAAAGTGTGGGTCCAAGGATGTCTGGTGGACCCAAGGGTTTTCAAAGCCCATGAACATGATGAATCAAATGGTGTGAATGTGTACATGTGCGTTTTTCACAAGATAGGAGTAAGAACTTGCCTTAGGTTTTCTAAAAAGTTTTATAACTTCCTGAAGTTATAAAAGTAAGGTTTAGATAATTGTCCTTGATTTGAATTTTGTAGCCCCCACTACCTCAAACATAATCTCCAATGGTCACTGGCCTTTCGGGAGAAGCCTGCGGCCTGGCCTGGGAAATAACTATCTGTGTTTAGCTCTGAAAAGAATGGCTCTGGGCTCTGAGTTCCGTCCCACTGGACAGCCAGGGGCCCGGTTTCCTCAGAGAACCCTGGTCGCTCTAGAGACCCACACACCCCAAACTCTAGAGTTTTCCCGACAGGAATCGGGCAATGCTGAGGGCCAAATCGTCCTTCTCAGTTCGTGGCTCTGTGGCATTTTCGGCGAGACTGCTAAACTCAGCTGTCCTGGTCAATTCCACCCGCTTGGTGAACTAGGTAAGGGCGGGTAAAGGCGCACCGCGCGCGGAACCATTTTCGAACTTCGGTTCGTCTTCTGCATGGGACTAGTCAGATGAGAATTTGCCTTGGCCTTGTGCTCGGGAGCGAAGCGAATAGAGAAGGCCAGTTCACGATCTCTGGGCGGAGACCCCCTGAATTGACCCTCGGCTGCCTGGGCTGCGATGCTACTGCGGCCTCAGGACCCCGTCCGCTTGGAGAGAACTGGTTCTCTCGTGTGCTCTCCCTATTTGTCTTTTCCTCCCTTTGTCCCTCACTCCTTCTTCTCTCCCTCATCATCATCACCCCAAGCTCAGTCGGCTGGTCGAGGGCGCAGAGGTGGAGATGGTCGGAACGCAGCGCAGCGCAGCGGTGGCGCGGCCTCCCAGGCGACGCGCGCTGAGCAGCCGGGACCGTAAGCAACCATAGCTGCTTATTTCAGAAACCAGAGCTGGGGTTCTGCCACTTGCTCTCCGGTGCGCTCTCCGGGTCCTCTCAGGTTCTTTCCCAGGCGGGGCCGGTGCCGCGAAGGGTTAGGCCAAGTGCTAGTCAGGTCTCCCCGGTGGGTCTTTTCCTGCCTGCGGCTCGGAGGACTAAGCGGTCCGCATCCCTGCATCCCGCTTTCAGCAGCTCCAGACCAAGCCTCTTCAGGGTCTGGAGCTGACGGGCGAGCAGGCCTCTGGGCGCTCTGGAGAGATGTAACCCACAGGCCAGGAGCAGGAGGCGACCTCCGGGGCTCCACTAGATCCGGCCGGAAAAGGTCGCATTTCCTGAGACTTGTATGAGGCCCACATTTGGGGACTAGCCCTAAGTCTGACTGACCGTTTGCAGTTGACTCAGAGGGCAGGCGCCCTTCCCTTCCCCGGCAGGGCCCGAGTAAAAGGAGGCGCGGATGTCCGTGGAGCAGCGGGCCTGGACACGGAGCTCTCCCATATCTGGGCCACGAGCCCAGCCCGGCCTCACAAGGAACGGATTTCCTCACCGCGGGCCTCGTTAAAATGCGCGCACCGCGGGAGCGAGGACTGCCCCAGCAGCGGGTTTGTAGGGGAGGGGGAAGAGGGAATAAGGGGAGGGGACGGAGAGGCAGGAGTGTGGTGACACTGGTTCTTGTCATAACCTCGCAAATGCCAAGACTAAAGCAGAGTAAGAGGCAGGCGGAGAACTGTACGCCAGAAGCGCGCCCCCCTGCAAGTTTTCCCCTCCGAATCTCGAATCTCCTCTTTAGACAGGTTAAAGAATCCAAGGGCCGAAGCTTAGCTCCGCTGAAATGTCCTGTATGTACGCTATGAGGGCCGCCGGCGGGACAGGACTAGCGGGGTGCCTGAACCTGGCTCTGGCTGGGGATGGAGGAGTCCTTTCCACTAAGGCTTTCCAGCTGCTTACCACTGTTGTTAGTAATTGCAGGGAAAGCGATCCAGGTGAGCTAAGACTGGAGCAATCGTTTGGGGAAGGGAGAATGTCCAGAACTGAAGGCCCAGGGCCAGTCATGGTATTCGGAAGAAACTCCTAGGGAGGTGAGGGAAAAGGAGAAGTGACTGAGCTGGCTCCTAGTCGACGCTGGATTCCTGACATTCTGAGGGTCCTGGTGGCCTTGGAACTAGGTCAGCCACATCAGGAGCCAGAATGCAGAGCAGGGACTCAGCTCCAGGTCTGTGGCTAACCGGGCTCTCTCAGTGGCCAGAGCGCTCCAGGGGTTACTAGTGGTGTCTTCTGTTATAAGGATGAGGGGTACTCAAGGCGGATAGGGCGCGCACCATAAACACGCCACTTGTTAACTGCTTGGGGCCCAAGGGCGCTTCAGACAGACCCCTGCGGCAGGCGGGTGTGTGTTCACGTCCGGGTAGGGGAGGAGCGAACCCAGGGGCCAGGCCCCCCACCCTAGGCGTTGGGGCAGGCCCCACAGCTCCCGACTTTCAGGCCTAGGTGTTGGGCTTGCATCTCCAGACCCATCAATACAGATTACATATTTATATCAATCGCGGGCTCGGAGAGCGCCCTCGGAGAGCTGCCCCGCGCCTACGAAACCAAACTGGGAGTGGTCGCGAGGCAACTCTGGCTCCGGATTGGCTGCGGGCGCCCGCCGCGGTGCGGGGGGATTGCTAATCGTATTCAGCATGTTTTGCACAAGAAATGTCAGCCAGAAAGGGCTATCTGCTCCCTTCGCCAAATTATCCCACAACAATGTCATGCTCCGAGAGCCCCGCCGCGAACTCTTTTTTGGTCGACTCGCTCATCAGCTCCGGCAGAGGCGAGGCGGGTGGCGGTGGCGGCGGCGCAGGGGGCGGTGGCGGCAGCAGCTACTATGCCCATGGCGGTGTCTACCTGCCACCGACCGCCGACCTGCCCTACGGGCTGCAAAGCTGCGGACTCTTCCCGGCGCTGGGTAGCAAGCGCAATGAGGCGGCGTCGCCAGGTGGCGGCGGCGGTGGCGGCAGCGGGGGCCTGGGTCCCGGGGCGCACGGCTACGCACCGGCGCCCATAGACCTGTGGCTGGACGCGCCGCGGTCGTGCCGGATGGAGCTGTCCGAGGGCCCACCGCCGCCGCAGCCGCCGCCGCAGCAGCCGCCGCCGCCGCAGCCACCCCAAGCCCCGCCGCAGGCCACCTCGTGCTCTTTCGCGCAGAACATCAAAGAGGAGAGCTCCTACTGCCTCTACGACTCCGCGGACAAATGCCCCAAAGGCTCTGCAGCCACTGCCGAGCTGGCCCCCTTCCCGCGGGGCCCGCCGCCCGACGGCTGTGCCCTGGGCACCTCCAGCGGGGTGCCAGTGCCAGGCTACTTCCGCCTCTCGCAGGCCTATGGCACCGCCAAAGGCTATGGCAGCGGCGGCGGCGGCGCTCAGCAACTCGGCGCCGGCCCTTTCCCCGCGCAGCTCCCTGGGCGCGGCTTCGATCCGTCGCCCGCACTAGCCTCTGGCTCTGCTGATGCGGCCGGGAAGGAGCGAGCCCTCGAGTCGCCACCGCCGCCTACGCTGGCTTGTGGCGGCGGGGGCTCGCAGGGCGATGACGAGGCGCACGCGTCGTCCTCGGCCGCAGAGGAGCTCTCCCCGGTTCCTTCCGAGAGCAGCAAAGCCTCGCCCGAGAAGGACTCCCTCGGTAAGCAGGATGTTTTGGAGGGCTGCCGCTAGGCGGGCAGACAGACAGGCCGACCCTGGCGAGCTAAGGAGCAGAGCCAGGAGCCCGCGCAGCAGCCTTGGCCGGAGCTGCAGGCAGGCTGACCTTGTGAACTTGCTTTTTAATATTTGGGCGTGGGGACGCCGTAAAAATTCATGTTGGGCTTAGAGCAAGAAAGCCTCTAGACTGGCCTCAGTTCGCCTAGGCTGGGGGCGAGGACACATGTTAGCAGCCCCCTCTTGTGCAGGCCCTTCTCCATGACCCGGGGGGCCCCCCAAGCTGCAAGGCCGTCCCAGCCTGAGTGGCGCGGCCCACACTGGGGGGAGGGGGAGGGAGGGAAAGTAGCTCGCCCGCAGATAGTGCGGATGTTTGTAAGGCATCCAAAATAAGCAGCCGCCAGCGCCAATAAATAAGCCCATTAACCGGCGAAGTTCGAGTTTACGATCCCCCATGCTTTTTTCAAAGTTGCTGGAGGGGCGGGAATCCTCCTTGCTAGAAAAAGAAAAGACAAATCCGGCCCGGACGCCAGGGAGCACCCCCACCTCTGAAGTTGAGGGCCTGCGAGGGGCCATTTCACCTCCTCTGGAACTCAAAGTCGCCCAGACTGCACACCCCTGCTTCTTGGAGAGATACGAGGGAGGTTCCTTAATTCCAAATCTGGAATTGGTACCTTCTCCCTTGGCCCAATTATGCCCTTCTTCTACCACATACCGGGCCTTGGTCAATCTGGGGCTGGGGGTGAGACACACAGTCACGCTGCCCGCCTCCTTTCCAAGTAAGCACCCCGCGCCCCCAGTCTGAGGACTGAAGGAAATGCTTGTTTGCCCGCCGTGGAGCGAAAAGCAAAGGAAGGCATTAAGTTCAAGATATACAGCCTGCCCTCCTTGGCGTTCATTCTGCAGGCGCCTGTAGCTTTATGCTAAAACAGGTGTCTGTAAAGAAGTGGAGGAACACGTAAACTGGGAGGGTGGGAGGAGGCCCACTCGGTCTTGCACAAACCTTTTGGAGGTTTGTCCTCTGCCAGTCAAAGGAGGGCATAACCCGCTTTCTGTGACTTAGGGCATCCCTCTTACGGGGAGACACATTCTGCCCTGCGTAGTACCCTCGACTTAACCTTCTCCTCTTTATTCTCTTAAACTCCAGGAAATTCCAAAGGCGAAAATGCAGCCAACTGGCTCACGGCAAAAAGCGGCCGGAAGAAGCGTTGCCCCTATACGAAGCATCAGACGCTAGAGCTGGAGAAGGAGTTTCTGTTCAACATGTACCTTACTCGAGAGCGGCGCCTAGAGATCAGCCGCAGCGTCCACCTCACGGACAGACAAGTGAAAATCTGGTTTCAGAACCGCAGGATGAAACTGAAGAAAATGAACCGAGAAAACCGGATCCGGGAGCTCACAGCCAACTTTAATTTTTCCTGATGAAGCTCCAGGCAACGCCATTGTTTTTGTTTTGTTTTTTGTTTTCAGCTTCCAGGGTCCCCTCCCTCTGTCTTATGCCTCTGCGCTAGGACCTCGCACCTGTGCCGGGAGTCCTATTTCTCCCTCTCACACTTGCCATCTCGCCTGCGTTACATCTGTGCAGGGCTGGTTTGTTCTGACTTTTTGTTTCTTTGTTTGCTTGGTGCTGGCTTATTTGTTGTTTTCTGGGGGAAAAAGCCATATCGCGCTAAAATTCTATAGAGAAAGGTATTGTCCTAAATGTCAAGTGCTGACGGGTCTGGGTTTGCTGCCTTGGGGTCCTACTGCTGGAAATGGCCTTTTTCTGGGCAGCCCTGGGGCAAACCTAGCCTTAAGGCGGAGTTCTCCTTGTCGGCACTGTGGGGTCTGGCCTGAGGTCAATGGTATCAGGAGTTACCACCGGATGCCTGCCGTGAGTGCTGGGTTGTGGTTGGTTAGGGAATACCTCTGGGTTTCTTTTTCTTCTTCCTTGGCAAAGAGAAAGGCTTACAGGTATGGCCGTGCAGGTTGGCAAAAGGGTTTGATTTTGGCTGATTGGAAAAGCAAGAAAGATTCATTTTCCCTTCCTCTGTAAGATATCCTAGCTTTAAAACGAACAAACAAACAAAGACCAGGAGAAGTAAATTTCTCTTCCAGTTTCTGTAAGGTCTTGCATTGCTGAACTAAATTATTTTACTTACCTCTGAATTGCCATATCTTTCTGAATGTAGATAGATAACCTAATGTAATTTTCTTTATACATGTGGTTTGTTGTTGTTGGGATTTTTGGTCATGAAATAATCGTTACCATTGGTAACATGACAAGCACACCGCAATTCTCCCTGTCTGGTAGCTGTTTTTTGTTTTTTTTTAAGTTCACTTTTTAAATTTTTCTGATATTCACAGAAGTCAAGAAGGACTGAGGGGAGCGGATTAGAGCAGAGAAAGGGAGACATTGTTTGAATTTTCTTTATACTGTGAAGTTACATGCAGAAAAAGAAAACTATAAATACAAATCTGTATAAATATTATTATGAAAAATTGCCAATCTTGTTTTAAGCAAATGCATTCTATCGTTATTATAAATGTTAGTTCTAGCTCTATTCTAATCTTAAATCAGAATAAATTAATATTGTAATGCTGCTGTGCGTGGAAACAAAAGATGATGTTTATGTTCTTATAGAAGAATAAAAGCTGTGGAATGAAGCTTTTTAATTTTACCTCTTTTTTGACTTCTTATCTTCAACTTCCACTTTATCCCATCCACTACTTTTACAACAGGAGGACTAGCCTGCGTCCCCTGCAATTACTTTAGGCATCTATTTAAATATTACCTAGACGGTCGTAATTTGTCTGGGCCCTATAGCCCTGGTGCCGTAAGGTTTGTCGGCTTTTGTTCAGTTTTATGACTTGCTAGTATATCTGGATTGTGGCTGTCTTGGACCAGTGGTTTCAGTTGAGAGAAGAGCTGCGTAGACAGAGGAAGTTAAACAGGGTTTCTTTCAGGAGCCTGGAGGAGGCTTGCAGAGGCCGCTTATTTTGCGGGTCTCCGGTTCCCGGATGACCCCCAGCCTAGGGATCTGGGCGCTGGCTAGGCCTATAGCGCGTCACTGGCGTCCGTCCGCCTCAGCGAGAAGGTGGACCTCGGCCGGACCACAGGGGCCGCCCCCTCCCCCAGCTCGGCCTCCCCCACCTGGCCGCTCTCCGCCGAGCCACGCGTTTCCTGCTCGCCGGAGCGGGGGGCGGGGGGGGGGGAGACGGGAAGGGGGAGCGCTGCAGAGGGGGAGAGCGCGGGAGCGCGCGCCCCAGCCAGCGAACGAGCCGGCGGGCGAAGAGGGGGAGCGCGAGTGGCGGGGAGCGAGCCTGGGAGGCCGTGGACAGACTGGTAGCCCGGCTCCGTGCAGTCCCTGGCGTTTTCAAGTCGCCCGCGTCTGCCGCCGCTCGGCGCCCCAGCTAGCTGAGCTGCAAGATTTGGGAAACCAGTGCACACTCTACTCCCTCTCGGCTCTGTTCGCGCTTTCTCCCCTCCTTCCTTTTTTCCTTTCCTCTCTCCCCTTGCCTTTCCTTCGTCCCTTCCCAGGCTTACGCTCCCGGGGCCAGGTCGGTGGCTTCTCCCTCTGGGATGCCTTTGCGGCCACCCGAGGCACTCGGTGATGGCGGCGGCGCAGGTTCGCCAGGGGCCTGGCTGGGCGCGATCTCTGGGTTTCTCTCCTTGGTTGCGGTGGCGGCGGCGGCGGCGGTGACGGCGGCGTTCGCGGCGGCGGCGGCGGCGGCGGCCGCGGGCGAGGCAGCCCCGCACGGGCAGCACCAGAACTGGTCGGTGATTTAGGTAGTTTCCTGTTGTTGGGATCCACCTTTCTCTCGACAGCACGACACTGCCTTCATTACTTCAGTTGAAATCGTCTCCAGGTATCTGTGCGCGCGGGGGCTGGGCCGAGCCGGGCATCCAGGCACTGGTTGTGCCAGGGCTGTGTTGGCAATAGCAGCATGCCCTGAGCTGGAGCCTCGTGACTGCCTCCTTTCCAACGCTGGGCCAGTCGGCCGACCTCTCACCCCCACCCCCACCTGGCTCCGAGCAGGTACAGTCAGGTTAGTTGCTCCATCGCGGACGCCGTGGGCGTGGTAGGAATTCTGGGCCCTGGGCCATTCAAGGTCAGGGGCGCACGCTTCCGTCCCGGGCGTCCCAGCTCTGGGTCTGGGCTTGGAGCCTAGAACCTCCGCCATCTCCCTGAGAGGCTGACACCCTTCAATCCAAAAGACGAACTCAGGGAAGATTCCTTTGGTAGTGAAGGCCCAGATCCAACCCAGGGACCCGGGAGGACATGGGATAGACACTGGAATACTGGTCTTGTCGCTTACCCTCTCTTGCTCTCCAGAGTCACCTACCTGGTACACTTTGTCTTTTTTCCTTCTTTCTCGCCCTCTCTCCTCCTTCCTTCACTTTTTCCTCTTTTTTCTTTTTGTGTGTGTGACTCCTTCCTTTTTCGTTATTTTTCTTTCATCTTCCGTCTCTCTCTGTTCCATTCTCTCTCTCAGCCTCCTCCTTTCATTCCAAAATTAGCCTCTGAAGATACCGGGTCTGGCTTGGGAGCGTCTGAAGAAGGGGGCGGGTATCTCCTTTTTGCGCGCTCAAGTTGTGGATGGGGTCCGCTGAGGAAGAGCTCTCTCCTCTCGTGGGGCGGCTGTCGAGGGCTGTGAGCCTAGGCCTGGAGTGCTGCTGAGCAGACAAGGCCTCGGTTATGATCACGACCGGGTGGCGGCGGCCTTGCGTTCCTTCTCCGCGGTCGGCAACGGCAGCCTGGAAGATCCGATTGGGTGGCGCCCACGCTCCGAGGTGCTTTGTGTGTCCACACTGAGGGCAGGGAGGACTGCGCTAGCCTCACTGGAGACTCGGCGCAACAGGGGGAACAGGGACGGAGGGCCAGCCTGGCTCAGTGGAGCCCCGTCCTCCTCCTCGTGGAGCTCAGCGGGGAAGCTCCTCGCAGTCTCTCCAAGCCTGCCAGGCCGAGTTTAGCCTTTGATAGAAATGAGGGAGCCCCGCCAGGGTAAAGGCTTGGCTGCTGGCTTGCCGGTAGCTTCCATCAAAATGTGTGTTAGATAAGGCACCCTTGTGTGGTCAGGTGCTGAGGAAGCGAGATAAGGGGACCCTTCCTAGTGCCAGTCTGCTTAAAATAACAGGAAAAAAGGATTCCAAATTCCAGGGCCATTGGGATACAAACTTGAATCCTTGTTCCAAGTTGTAGTCTAATGACCGAGCATAGGGACCATTCTAGCTATCAGAAACTGAAAACAACCATCTTTTACCCTGCCCCCTACCCCACACATACATACTTGTCTTCAGAATTCACGTCCACCAAGCTGGGCTTCCCTTCCCAGCCCAGGCTAAGGCCTGGGAACTGTTTTCATTGCGCAGTCCACGACCTGCTATCTGGAAGGCCCACACTCTTCTCCCTTGTGCTATTTGCCAGGCCTGGGTATTAAGTTGATCTCAAAGGCCAAGGTTTATAGAAGAATTCTCAGGCGAGAAGGGGAGGCTTGTCATTATAACCACTTATTATTATTTCATGCATATGAGATCCTTTTAAGTTTCAAAATAAAAGCAGACACAAAAGTCTGAATATTTTCATTCCAAATCTCTGGGTTGAGGAACAACAAATATTTGTTTTTGTGTTTTTACTCCCCCTCCCCCTTTCTAGGCACGAGTTAAAAGCTGTTTAGCACTCAACGCCTGCTAATTATTCAGTAATCATACTGTTTTAGAGCTAAAGCCATTGAAAGGACCAGCTTTTAAAAATTATATATATATAAAATACTACTAACAATGGATGTCTTCTCTGCATACAAAAAAAGTGGAAAAGGCAGCTGGGCGCAGGAATCTGTTTGCAGACAGTTACAATTACCATTGTAAAATGTCCTCCCCTATCAATTTTTCTTAATAGAAATCTCAGAGGCATCGCGGACCACCGCTATTTGGGCACCTTAGGTTGCAGAGGGGGTGGGGATGACGCGGAGGAATTTCCAGGGAAAAGAAAATATTAGGGGGGAGGAGGTAGAGGCGGCCAGGACTGGCCACGTCGGAGTTCATTGTGTAGGCCACTTCCCTCTTCCCGGCGTGGGCTGAGGAAAGCCACCAAATCGCTCTCTGCACAACTTTACCGCCCCGCTCCTGGGAAAAACTTGGCATCTGGGGGTCCCCACCAGGATAGAGATGTGTCTGTTTTTAGGGGATTACTGGAGCTGTTGGAAAGAAACAAAAAATGAGGGGGCGCTGGAAGCGCGCTCTTGCCGCCAGCCTTGGCTAGGAGGGAAGTGGGCTAATGAGAAACACACTCTTGCAGACCCAGTGTTCACACGTGAATTTAATTACCCCATTTCTAGGAGTCGCTGCTTTCTGTTTGGAATTGGGGTGTTTCTTTCTTCTTCCTCCAATTAACGGAGAGGCCGTGGCCCTTTTATTCACCCCCCAAAGGCTGTAAGGGGTGAGAAAAACCCTCCTTAACGTGACCAGACCAAAGGATGGGATTAAAGTCAATGCCCCAGTGCTCCTCCCCATTTTAATTTCTAGCCCTGGACTTGAGCGGACAGCCCCTTGCTTTGAGCTCTGAAAGTAACTATCAGATCTAGTTGGTAACGGAGGTGGAGGCGCGGGCCCGGACCGAAGGAACCAGCTTTCTTTCCCTGAAGGGCTCATTCTGGGCCCCAGGCCAGGCCCCTGTTGATTTTCTGGTCACTGCAGCTCTGGCATCTCTTAGGTGGGACTGGTTCCTCTGCAAACCGAACTGTCCTTCCAGTGATGTTGCTGGGCGTCACTCCCGACTCAGGTTCTAGGAACGCGAGGAGACTAGCAGAGCTCAGAGGGTCCTCGAGGCCGGAGCATAGGAGCACAGGGCCGGGTCATCAGTCGTGGTCACGCAGGGCTCGTGATTCAGGGCTAACCAAGAGCAGGCTGCTCTGGGCACGCGTGTGCGCGGGGTCCGGACCCCAGGCATCATCAGACTCCCAAACGTCCCTGGCGTGGCTGGTCAATCCCATCCAGGTTGCTCCTAGGCGGGGATACGGACCAGGAATTTGGGGGCTGCCAGGACGCCTCGCGCTCCAGGAGGGCAGGTTTTGGTTTCAGGGTCCGCACAGGCGTTGCCCTCCTCCGAGGCCTGGCTCTGTCTGTCGGATGTACTGGGCCAGGGAAAGCAGCTGCTGTTTGAGATGGTGACTGCGTTGAATTTGACTTTTCGCGGCCGGCTGGGGGTAAACTCGCATCTCCTGGGGACCGCAGGGATTATTTACAGGGAGCTCACCAACCAAACACAACAGTCTAATTTAACCTTTCCAAGTCCTCGTAAATTTTTACAGCTGCAAGCCATAGTGAGGCCAACGAATCTGTTGGTCGTTCCTGACTTCCCACCAGCCTGAGTGGCTTCTGAAACAATAACTCCTTATGAAATATCATAAATATAGATTTAAATACAGTAGAGGAGAATGCGATTTGGCTTCTTTTTTATGGCTTCAATTATTGTCTAATTTTATGTGAGGGGCTCTGCTGGCCGCACTCGCACGGGGGACCAGCGCCTTCCTGATGGCGTGATTAATTGTGATATAAAATAGTCCTCATAAGAAGTGTGTGTGTGTGTCTGTGTGTGTCCCTATGTATGTCAGGGGTGGTTGTGAGGTTTACGGAGACAAGACCAGATTTGATCTTTTAATCTTCGTTGGCCACAATTAAAACAAACCCTATCGTGGAGTGGCACGATTCCTTTGCATAAAAACATATGGCTTTTGCTATAAAAATTATGACTGCAAAACACCGGGCCATTAATAGCGTGCGGAGTGATTTACGCGTTATTGTTCTGCTCGGTGGGCACGTGACGCGCGCGACCAATGGGGGCGCGGGCGCCGGCAACTTATTAGGTGACTGTACTTCCCCCCCTGGTGCCACCAAGTTGTTACATGAAATCTGCAGTTTCATAATTTCCGCGGGTCTGGCCGGGCCGGCCAGGCGCGGGGCACGGCGATGGCCACCACCGGGACCCTGGGCAACTACTACGTGGACTCGTTCTTGCTGGGTGCTGACGCCGCCGACGAGCTGGGCGCGGGCCGCTACGCGCCCGGGGCCCTGGGCCAGCCCCCTCGGCCGGCGGCGGCGCTGGCCGAGCACCCCGACTTCACCCCGTGCAGCTTCCAGTCCAAGGCGGCGGTGTTCGGCGCCTCGTGGAACTCGGTGCACGCGGCGGGCGCCAACGCCGTGCCGGCTGTGTACCACCATCATCACCATCCCTACGTCCACCCCCAGGCGCCCGTGGCTGCGGCGGCGCCGGACGGCAGGTACATGCGCTCCTGGCTGGAGCCCACGCCCGGCGCACTCTCCTTCGCGGGCTTGCCCTCCAGCCGGCCTTACGGCATTAAACCTGAACCGCTGTCGGCCAGAAGGGGTGACTGTCCCACGCTTGACACGCACACTTTGTCCCTGACTGACTATGCTTGTGGTTCTCCTCCAGTTGATAGAGAAAAACAGCCCAGCGAAGGAGCCTTCTCCGAAAACAATGCTGAGAATGAGAGCGGCGGAGACAAGCCCCCCATCGACCCCAGTAAGTGTCTCCTCTCTCGCGACCGGCCGCTGCCTCCACGCCGGCCACCCAGATCTGCCGGCCCAACCAGTCTTCGCTCGAGCTTGCCTTCGCCCGCGCTGGGAGCCTCCTGAGCGGAGGGGGGGGGCAGGAGCTGTTGGGGACGCCTAGGATGGGACCCCCAAGTCCGAACAGCAGTGACACGCGGGCCCGCAGGGCTGGGGGGAGGGGAGATATCTGCGGCCGCCGCTCAGAGGGGGCGGGGCGGGGCGCTGCTTGCGGAGTCCAGACTCGCCGCCCCTCTCCTTTGCTGCCCCGGCGGCCCAGAACTGAGAGAGATACTTGGGACCGTTCTTCGAAAGCGGCGCGCCGGAAAGTCTTTTGTGCCGCTATATTGTCCGGGAGCCGCAGCAGCTATGGCCGCAGGGGCAGCCTGGCCCGGGACGCTGGGGATGATGGCTGATTCCCTCCACTCTTTTCCTTCAGTCGTGGAGGCATAAATCCTGCCTAAAATGAGGCTGCAGACGACCGGGCCACGAGGGTCCCCATCCCACATTATGCAAATAAATTGGAGAAGTGATCAACGGCTTTGAGGCGCCTAGGGGCGCCCAGGCCGGCCTGCCCTCTTCCCCTGGGCTTCTAGGGAGTTCAAATAAGGAGTGGGAAGAGTAGAATGAAAGATGAGAAAGGAAAGGCAGAGAAATCCAGAGAGAAAAGAAATATAAATCTTGCTGCAGGAACAGAGAGCAGCGTGGTTGGTTGGTTTCTCTCTTGGTGACAAGATCTGTTTCCAAATTCCATTCTTTCCACAACGTGGAGGAGAGTGGAGAAAAGAGAGAAGGGAGGATAGATAAGAACCAGAGGGGAAAGGGAGCCGAGCCTTTACAGTGGACAATTGTAAGTGACCGTCCTGCATCTGTGGGCCAGGCTTCCATTGTGTCCTAGGCTCGTCTGCCTTCCCTAACCTATTCAGTGGCATCCTGCACTTTGGCCAGAGTGCCCAGGAGTCTCCCTAGCTCCCAGCCTGAGGGCGCTTCTCCGCTTCCTAAACCCAGTGTCTCTCTCCCCCTGCAGATAATCCGGCGGCTAACTGGCTTCACGCTCGCTCCACAAGGAAGAAGCGCTGTCCCTATACCAAACACCAGACGCTGGAACTGGAGAAAGAATTCCTATTCAACATGTACCTCACCAGGGACCGCAGGTACGAAGTGGCCCGGCTGCTTAACCTCACCGAGAGGCAGGTCAAGATCTGGTTCCAGAACCGCAGGATGAAAATGAAGAAAATCAACAAGGACCGAGCTAAAGATGAATGATGTGATTGGGGTTCATTTAGAAAAAAGAGCGAGCTAGAAAGAGAGAGAGAAAAACAAAACAAAACAGAAAACAGCCCGTCCCCTTCCTCTTTTCCCATCCCCACCCCAACCTCCACCACCCTGCACAAAGCGGCTCTAAAGCCCAGGTCTCCTCTCCCCCTGGCAAACCCCTGCTCAGGCTGGCTTCTTGGCCTGCAGCTTTGATGGAGGAGGTATTGTAAGCTTTCCGTTTTCTGTAAGACAACAAAAAGGGGGCATTGACGCTGATGGCTGTATGTGCTAACTTGTATATATTAAAAAAAAAAAAATAAAACCTACCTGTTCCTGACCTACAAAAAAAGAAAAAGAACTACCTTTTTTTAAAATCATGCACAACTGTTGATGGCGGGCTGTAGAGTTTTTAGTCTGTATGGTTAATTTAATTTGCTCTTCGTGTAGTGGAGCAATCTGCTGAGATACTTGAACACTGTGTTTTATTGTGGTAATTATGTTTTGTGACTCAAACTTCTGTGCTGGGTGACGACGTAGCCATTGTGATTGTGGGAGCTAGAATTCAATTTGAACTCAGGTTGTTTATGAGGGAAAACCAGTTGCATAGAATATAGCTCTGTAGTGGGGTACATCTTCTATATTACTAGGCTGTTAACCTTTGATTGTAAACTAGCTATAAAGAGTTCTCAGTGAAATACAAATGTTTTTGTTTTTTTCCTTTAAATAAAAAGTTCTCCAGGATTATTAGATTCATGGCTTTTGTAATGCAGGCATTTTGGTCTCTGTTTGCTCTATTGTCCTATCTTATCTGTTGTATATATAATCTACCTATTAACGAAAAAGTACACAATCAGACAAGCTTGAACATTGTTTTTATGCCAGGCAAATGGTGAGGAAATTCGGAGCTATACGTATGTGCAGAAGGTTACTACCTATGGTTTACTTTTAATTTTAGTTGGGAGGGGGGAAATGAATGCATATTGTAATGGACTTAATTTTATTGAAAATAAATTATACACTATGAAACCGCCATTGGGCTATTGTAGATTTGTACGAATCGGGGCTTTCCATCGGACTGAACATGTATTGTGTATTTTGCAATAGTTACCTCAAGGCCTACTGACCAAATTGTTGTGTTGAGATGATATTTAAACATTTTGCCAAATAAAATATTTTGATCCTTTTTTTTTTTTTTTTTTTTCTTTTGTGAGTCTGCTCTTTGCACCTTCTTGTTCCAGGACAGGAGTACTCTCTGGGTGGGGTCTGGGCTGGGTTGGGCTGGGGGGATAGAGCCTAATTTTGCCTTTGGAGGGCTTTCTGGAGTCCAGACCTGCAGAAGCCAGTTCTGGTGGGCCTACACTCTCCTGACCAAGCCGGTTGCCGAGTTTGCATGAGCAAGGGGGTGAGTGGGTGGGTAGGCTGGGAATGTCGGCAAGGCCTGGCTCCCAATCTTGAGTCCATTTAGGAGACAATGGAGAGGGTTCATAGGAGCTGGGCCTGAAGGATGGAGGGGGTGGTCCGGGGCATCCCTGGTCAGAAGCTGTAGAAAGACCACTCTTTTATCTTAGTGCTCTAAGAAATTCTCCAAACTGGCGCTCATAGGGCTCCTGGGACTTTCCTGGCCGGGAGAGTGGAGAGTGAAGGTGGGGTGGCAGGAGCAGACGAGAGCCTAGGGTCTGTCTCCTACAGAGGCTTGGAGAAAGGAAGCGGCAACCTGGCCGCCCAGAGGCCTAACAGGAAGAAATTTAAGGGGAGCACAGAGAACCAAAGTCCTGTGCTTTCGCACCCTACCACACCCCCACATCCTGCCTGCTTGACCTGGAGAATTCTGGACCCTGAACCGCGCGCTCCTCCTGAACGACTAGTCCTGGCAGAGGCTTGGCCGAGGCAACCAATGAACCCCGAAACGTCATAAAGGAAAATGAGGGCTGTTACCGTTTATGGGGTGTAAAAGATTGCGGCGGGGGTGGAGAGGGACCTCCAGGACTTCGGAGGAGGCCCGAGCGCCTTCCAAATGTGGCATTGGAGGCCAGAGGATTCAGCCTCGCCTCCTTTTTTCTGTCCCCCCCACACCACCACCACCACCCTGCCGCCCTCTTCACGACTTCTGCAAAGTTGGTGGTGTTCGGACTCATAAAAGGGGAATGGGGAGCTGGGGAAGGGGCGTCCCTTGTCCACTACCCCCCACCCCGCCGCCGCCGGGTTGGGACGCCCTCTGTTGTTGCAGACAGAAGGAACTTCAAAGAATGGGCAGTAAGGTTGTGCCATAAAGAATGGGTCTGCGAACTGTCTGGAATTCGGCCCTTAATGAGTTTACAACTGTCCAGTCCCAATTAGGATTTTCCACCAAAGCCCTTTCATTTGTTTTCTCTGTCTGCTGCCGATAAAGCGACTGCGGAAACAGCTCTCTTTTATGGGCACTGACCCCTCGGCAGCGTAGATTCCGGACTCCACGCTGCCCCCAGGGGATCGGGCCCCAGCTGCCCTTTGGAAGTGGGGCGCAAAACCCAGCGGCCGCGAAAGCGGTGGACGAAGTTCAGGCCGGCAGAGGCTGCAGTGTCTTGATGTAACCAGCAGATGGCAGTGTGGCTCCACGCAAGAGGCTCCGGCGCCGCCATCTCCAGCCACTGAAAACCTGGGATGTTCCTAAGATGTCGACTTGACGAGAGCTTTTCCGGCGGGAGAGAGCCAGATTTGAGTGAATAGTAATAGTATCTTTCCAGTCTGGTTCACTCCGGGTTGGAAACCTGCCTGGCAAGCTGCGGGAGCTTGCCTGGCCCCATAGCCCACAAGCCGGCGTCCCCCGAGGGCCCAGCGCCGGGAGACTGCAGCTGTCCTGGCGGTAGCAGGGTTGCAGCTTCTTGGCGGGGACGGCTCCAGGGTCACCATGCTCAGCCAGAGACAGGCCTCCGGGCAGCAGAGCACGCAAGAACCCCAGCTGACAGACGGACAGACTCGGGGACGAACGCCCACAGCCCCGGAACCTGGTGATCCCCTCTCCACAAGGTGTGCAGAGGGCACACCCCCAGACAACTGGTCCCTGGGGGGTCCCTGTGGGCCTGCTGAGTTAGGACCCCGCGGGCAGGCGGGACACGAGCCGGCGAGAAATCGTGACAATAAAATTGGGCAGTTGGAAATTGTGCTGAAAGACATTCTTGGTGATCGTCTGGTGTGATCCGCGGGCTGCCGAGTTGACCTGGCGAGACAATCCCGGGGTGAGGGTGGCTGGCGGGGACCACGGACCAGGAACTGCTTTGGTTATTCTAAAATAAAGGTGACGATCAAATAACACTTGTAATAAATGCCCTCCTATACTCTAGGAAAGAAGTTCACGTCGTGGAAGCCGCCCCTACTTTATCTTGCGTCTCATTCCTTCCGCAGTGAAAGTACCAAGGCTGTTCTGGCGTCACCCACTCGGGGGACCAGGAGGGAGGGGACCCCAATACAGGCCCTACCGCTCCCCGACCCTGGTCGGGGAAGACACTCCGAGTCTCTACAGAGGCGGCCCGTGCGCGCATTCGCCCAGGTGGAAAACGCAAACGCACATGGAAACCCGGGCCGCAGTACCCGGGAGCCCTGTGAACACGCGGCTGGGTCGTAATCATCTCCCGCAAGCCCACAAAATGTTTACGATCCACGTCTCGGTGTTGTACACGCCATAAAGCTGAGGACTGGATTGGAGTTGACATTTCTCCCGGGGTGTATGTGTTGTCTCCCTTTTCCTGTCCGTATACACATCGTAGGGATTACCGACACACGTCTTCATGCTGTTTTTATATAATACATAATCGATCACAACTGAATTTAAGAAAGATTTGATAGCTTCCTGGAAAGCCACCCGTGGTGGCGTCTCCAAGCGGTAGATTTTTCTAAAGCTCGATTTATGTCATCCAAATAAATGCCGAAGGAAGAGATCTGTGGCCACCGCGCTTCTGCACTAATCGCTGAGTCCAGGTAGGTGCAGGCCGCCCCGGGGGTCGGAGGCCGTGGGGACGGAGCGGCGGGCCTCCCTTGCCCTTGGCCGGCCCCGCGGCTACTGGGCGGCTCTCTATTCAGTTCGCCCGGTAAGACTGTGTTAGCTGCTTGTACCCGCATCGGGCCTTCGCCCAGACCAGATCCCGCGACAGTCCAGTCCGTACTCGTTTGCACGCGTTAGGACTGGCTTGTCTGCACCTCGGCCAGGAACCACTCCTTGACTGGAGAACAGACACGCGGTACCGCAAATTGGAGGGCGCCCCGCAGAGTCTTGCATTGCTGAGACCCGCATTTACATTGTTGGCTATTTGCGTTGCAAAAGCAAGGGAAACACACTCTCTAAATCTAGGTAGGAATCCAGCGCGGGTACAAGCAGCTAACACAGTCTTTATTTAAAACACAACTCGGTTAATTGGAAACCTGCCTGCCTACATGTGCCTGCGTTGAGTGTGGCGTCAGTGAGCATTTCTGTGAATGTTATCACCCACAACTGAGTACATTTTGCACCTTTTTAGCTAACTAAATAGGGAATCAATGATTCCAGAGCATGTGACTAAAGAGGCCTAATTGAAAGCCTGACTTGCCCTGCCATTTCGTTTTAAAACAGAAAGCGGGAGAAGTCCAGAAACGAAAGGGAGGTTTGGCATCCGTGGAACTCGACCCAGATGGCTGACTTGGGCTCAGAGGGGCCGAGATCTTGCGGGCAATATCCAGATCCGCCGTGGCCTGGATAGAGAGGCAGTGCGCTGGGCCAGGATAGCTTGGACGCGCGCCGGGCAAAATCAGGGCAAAGATGAACGTGAGGAGCGGGGGAAAGCTTCAGCACTCCCTCCGTGGGAATGTTCGCTCCTTTCTTCCCCAGTTCTCAGAAATCATTCCCCACTGCCAGTTCGCATGCTCTTCTTTCAACACCATCGCTATAGGCATCTTGGCCGCCTGAATCTAGACAGACGACGGCGGCCGGGCCGTTGTCTTCTTCTTCACTTCTTGTTCTGTCACCCAAGTAACAATTTATTGGTCTAAAGCCGGCTAATTCTGGCTCTTTGATCTCATGGCTTTCTTCTTGTTTCCTAGTCTCCCTTTAAGTACTTAGGTTTTTATTTCTTTCCAGAAAACGATGCTATTTGGGATATTTGTTTTTCTCTTCTAGTCTTAACCCCACCATTCCCTATCCAAGACAAGCTCTCCTCTTGAAGAGCCACCATAAAGAGACATCCCCGGATATTGCCCTAGGGTCCCAGTACCCCCCAGAAGTACCACCCAGAGCCCACCTGTCTGGTCAGCCTTTATCTCCCCACCCCACCCCCTGCACCCTCTGTACTCCACTCCCCAGGAGCTGGGACCCCTGTAACACTGGTCTAAATCCTCCTGCTCTCTTTTGTGCTCCCAGGAGGGTGAGGGGGACGCGGGTACCCTCTGAAAGTGATGGGAAGCGCTTTGTACACAAGGAAACAAACTATAATTTAAAGGAGAATTTCCGGAGCAATTCCATTGTGAGGTAGAGTTTATGGTGTGCAATCGAGCTGGGCAGTAAAAGGCATCCTGACCCGGCTGCCGGGCTCCCAGCATGGCCTGGGCAGTTTATGAGGCGTTTAAGGGAGGGGTTCACCCCGTCATCCTCCCTGATCGGTGGGCGGCAAGGACTTCAGCGGGCTCAACCCTTTTGAAAGGGTCTGAGGCCTGGGAAGGTAAGTGCCAAAAGTTGGGGGCCTGGCTAGGAGGGAGTGTAGTTACTATGTATCCCTTTAATGAGGAAGGAGGCCCTTGGAAAGGTAAAGCATGCCAGAGCTAGGTGACTCTTCTGAAGGCCCTACCTTTTGTTTCGTATTTATTTCAAAATAAAGGAGGGTTCACTGCTGGCAGGAGCCTTCGGGCCCGCGTCTCCTCTGGAAACTAAGCTCTAAAAATTGCATTGTTTGGAGGCACCTAGGCCCAGAAGAAGGAGCTGGCGGAGGCCCAGTGGTGACTGGGTTGAAGACTGCCAATATCTTAAGGCTCTGAGGGTGCCCCAGAAAGGCGTGGACCCTGTAGTTCTTTCAAACTGGGGGACGGAGACCCCGCTCTTAGGGAGCCAGGGGTTGCAGGGAGGACAAAAGAGCATGCCGCCGTTTCTCAGGCTCGCCAAAGCCAGCCAGGTGCCTAGACTCTACAGGGCCCACAGTGTCGTGTCGGGGAGCTGGAAGGGGGACGCCGCGTTAATAAATCTGTTGGCAAATGAGGCTCATTAATAGATAAATATTTCACTACTTCCTTTAGTGCAGAAAACAGCGCGCCGCTGATTAAGGAAAGGAAACTGGGAGACGTTAACTTTATTCGAACCACATGGTTCCAGTATGTGGTGCGTTCTCAAAGTGACGCTACACCTTCCCTGCCCAGAGCCGAGTCCAAGTCCGGCCTGTAGCCTCCTGGAGAGGGGGGAGGCGTCATAAGCAGAGCCCGTTGGCCCAGACCCAAGACCTGTTCACAGGAGCACAGTGGGAGGGAGGGCAGGAGCGCCAGGGGCAGAGACCCCCGCTTGGGGCTGGGTCGGCAGGGAGAACCGGTAAGCTTGATCTGGAGTTCGAGCCCCTCTGGGTCCCCAGACGCTGGGCTGGGCAGAAGGGGGCTGCGTTGGTAGCCTTCGCGCCGCGTCCGTAGTCCCCAGCGCCGGGTTTGGAAGTCGCTAGACGCTCCCGCGGGGCCTCAGGACCCTCTCCCGCAGGACGCTGCCGGGCTGGCCCCGCGCTGGCAGAGCCATCGGCCACACGTTTGAGCCTCTTCCCCTTCCATTCTAGGCAGCCGCGGGCCCCGCGGAGCAAGACCACCTGTGAGGGCGGCCGAGATTGGCGGAGACGATCATGTGGGCAGTCACGTGCTGCGGCGAGCTCCGTCCAAAAGAAAATGGGGTTTGGTGTAAATCTGGGGGTGTAATGTTATCATATATCACGCTACCTCGTAAAACCGACACTGAAAGCTGCCGGACAACAAATCACAGGTCAAAATTATGAGTTCTTCGTATTATGTGAACGCGCTTTTTAGCAAATATACGGCCGGGGCTTCTCTTTTCCAAAATGCCGAGCCGACTTCTTGCTCCTTTGCGCCCAACTCGCAGAGAAGCGGCTATGGGGCGGGCGCCGGCGCCTTCGCCTCGTCCGTTCCGGGCTTGTACAATGTCAACAGCCCCCTTTATCAGAGTCCCTTCGCGTCCGGCTACGGCCTGGGCGCCGACGCCTACAGCAACCTGCCCTGCGCCTCCTACGACCAAAACATCCCCGGGCTCTGCAGTGACCTCGCCAAAGGCGCCTGCGACAAGGCAGACGAGGGCGCGCTGCATGGCTCGGCCGAGGCCAATTTCCGCATCTACCCGTGGATGCGGTCTTCAGGTAGGCGCGGGGGGCCCAGGCGGCCGGGTGGCCCGGGAGCAGGGGCGCGGGGGCCGGTAGCTAGGAGCCGGGGCGGCTGTGAACTGGCTGCCGGGTGACTCGGCGGCGGCACTGCCTTTCTGGTTTTAATTAGAACCCAGGCGCCATTGCGTGTAGGGCCCATAGCATTGTATGTAAATGAGGCTCATAAAACTTTTTATGGCCCAATTAATGGGTTCGATCCTCATAAATTTATTTAACTCCATTTGCCTTGGAATTTTAACCTTAAGTTTGTTTATTCGCTATTCTCTGTTTTTCCTTCCTTCCTTCTCTCTCCTCCACCCTCCTTCGTCCTCTTTCCTTCCACCCTCTTCTCTATTTCAGTCTATTGTTTTGTTTTGTTTTGTTTTCCCCTCTCTCAAAAGCTAGCAGAGTCTAGTCCTCAAAGGCCCTTCACATGCCTCAGTGCCAAGCACTCATTTCAAGGGAGTGGGGGACTGAGGGCTGGAGTGCCCAAGAAAAGTCCAAGGATGGGGGCGAGGGCTGCTGAGGAGTGAGAGCACCCCAGGAGTTCAGTCCAGGCCGCCCAGGGGTCGCCCACTTGCCTAGCAAGGCTGGGAGGCGACTGAGTTCCCCTTTGAATGGCAAAAGCTCAGTGACTTCCACTTGCCCACACTCTATATTTACAATTTCCCTTTGTCAGCGGGAAGCAAGACATTGTGGAAGCGTAGCCGCCTGGAAAGGGTGGTTGTAAAGTTGGGATTCTGCCTTTTCCCCTCTGTAAGATCTGCCTGCGCCGTCTGGCACCACAGAGGGTCTAGCGAAAACACTCCTCCCTCCCCTCGTTCTCAGCTCAGTCCCCGGGTGCGGGGCAGAGGGGGACGTGAGTCAGGGTCAGGGCCGGGAGGGAGGAAGGTGCGGGTTCTAGGACAGAGCTGACTGATGCTCTAGCCTATCCATGTCTCTGTCGTGTGTCTGCTTGTCTGCTCCCAGGACCCGACAGGAAGCGAGGCCGCCAGACCTATACGCGCTACCAGACCCTGGAGCTGGAGAAGGAGTTCCACTTCAACCGCTACCTGACGCGCCGCCGCCGCATCGAGATCGCCCACGCGCTCTGCCTCACCGAGCGCCAGATCAAGATCTGGTTCCAGAACCGCCGCATGAAGTGGAAGAAAGAGCATAAAGACGAAGGCACCGCCACTACCGCAGCCCCCGAGGGCGCCGTGCCCGCCGCCGCTGCAGCCTCTGTTGCTGCCGCCACTGACAAAGCTGAAGAGGAAGATGACGAGGAGGAGGATGAAGACGAGGAGGAGGAATGAGGGGCCGAGGAGGGACCGGGCTGCACGGGACAGTCGGGAAAGCGTCTTTAAGAGACTGGTTTTATTTACAAACATGAAAGGGGGGAAAAAGAAAAGGAATGTAAAAAAAACAAAAAAACATCCAGACCCCCAACCTTACCCCCCTCACCCCGTCACCCACCTCTGCTCCCAACTTTTCTGGACTACGTGGCCACAGTGACTGGGCCCCCTTGGGGACCTCCTCTGACACTAAGGACCCCCAATAGACACACCCTCACTCAACTCAAGGCCTGCCTGCCCCGCTGGCTCGGCCAAAATACTACCTAGCACAGGCCTCTGCATGAGGCACTCCCAAACTACCTATGGGCCCAGGCCCAGCAGCCCTCCTCTCCCAGGAAGCCCAGAAGGTGTCCCAACACTGGCAGATCCTCAGTACCACCACCCCAATCCCAAGGACCTGCTTCTCTTAATACTACCTACTGCCCCAGACTACCTAGTTTGTGCTTGCTGGTTCACCTGCTACCTAGGGCCAGCCCCTCCCTGTCTAGATCCCTGCTGCTTCCTGCCAGCAGCCCTTGGGGTCTCTGAGGCTGTGTGGGGATCCAGGGAACAGGGCATTGGCTTCTATTTAAATGGAAAAATAATATATTTATTCCAAAGCATTGTAAGTGCTGCAACTTAGAGTCCCTCTAGCCTGGGCACCCCAAGTTCAGGCCGATTACCCTACTTCTTGAAGGGAGCATTTCTGAGCTGGCTGCACACCTACGGGTTAGCTTCAGTTTCGTAGGTCTTTGGAAATGCTACCAGCCACGCTGCACCCTTCCCCAACCCTGCGTCTACTGCCCAGTCATGTCTAATCTGTATAACCCTAACTTTTTTCCTACAATAGCAAATACTGTATATTTGAACAAGTTTTTGTTTTTGTGTTTTTGTTTTTTGTCATTTATATAGCCTTGACACTCATTTGTACGGCAATGTCTTGACTTGGGAAGGATGTGTTAATGGGGTGACTTTGTAGCATGGTGTGTTTGTTGTCTTGACTTAACTGTGTAGCGGGTGGGTAAGCCAAAGCTCTCCCAATGTCCTTCAACTCCTAGTTGTCCTGTGGCGACCCCCTCTGCTCCAGCCAGAGGTTCAGGGAAGACACGCTTACCATCTTACCCAGCTAACAGTGTTTTATGTATCAGAAAAATAAAGATGCTTGGTGACAAAGAAACAGAGATTGTCTGATCCAGAAGGGACCTGAGGGAGGGGGTGAGCATGGCTGATGACAAGCCCGCCTGTGTCTGTGCACCCACAGGGGTGGTGGGAAGCACAAGTAGAGTCACTGTTCTCGGGTCCAAGTGTTGGGTGTCATGTCCTTCTGCGTGTGCGCTTTTATGTGTGGATTTGTATGAGCGTGCATACCTATATCTGTTTTGATGTGTGTTTGAATTTACATGAGTCCATAAGTGTATTTCTGTGTTCATAATTGAGTGTGTGTTGTGTGTTGTGTGTCTGTAACTGCATGTATTTCTGTGTCCAGATCATGTGAATGTTATTTCTTGAAGTAAATGTGTTTCCGTGTGTCTATAATTGTATTTCTGTGATCAAAAGTATTCATATTTTTTGTCATAGTTAAGCATATATTTCCATGTGCCCATAATTGTATATGTGCATTTTTCTGTGTGGAGATGTTTGTCTGTTTTTCTGTATGTGTGCACAAACACCTTCTCCAGAGCCCTTGAAAACGAAATCTTCGATGGGCACATCATAGTCTAAGAACCTCCCTGAATTCCCTGAGCCTATCCCAAATCCATCTTTTAAATCTATGTAAGGTGAACTTGAAAAAGGGGTGCTACCCTGGGACTCATCCCGGATCCTCCATGCGTCCTAAACCCGACTCCAGTCTAAAAAGTGGGATTCATTCGGGGTGTCTGCCGCAGCCCTCCATCCTGCCTCCTTTACCCTACATTCAGGCTAAGTTAGAGTGCCCTCGGCCCCAACACTGCGGCAGAGGGGCGTGGGGAGGGGCAGGAGCGCAGATCCCGGGCTGGGCTGCACGGCTTGGGGCGGGAGTGTCAGGTTTGGGGAAGGACCAGGGACTGAAGAAGGGACACCGGGTGGTGGGAGCATCGCAGAGCAGCCTGAGCGGGGTCGCCAAAGACCTGCACTCCGGCATCCTTGAGTGGGCAAGACCCGCTTCTCGGGGTTCTTTTCATAAAACCCAGCCCAACCAGGTCTTCAAAGCCCGCGGCCCCAAATCAGGGCGGCCTGAGTGGTAAGATGGCGCCGGTGGAAGAGCTGCCTCCTCTTAGTGATGGGGAAAGGGTCATAAATCCGTTGTTGTTTATGAAAATTTACAACTTTGCAATACAACTTTATGAGTTGTTCGGCCCTTCTATTGGCCGCTGTCGGTCATGTGGATGGGAACCGTGAACATGAACTTTTTTATAATTTCCCTTGCGAGAATAGAGCCGCATTCTTTTGCTCGGCTCCGTCCTGCCTGCTTCGGAGCTCTGCCTTTCAGCGGGGCTGCACTGCGCTTTGTCCGGCGATGACGAGTGCAGGGACGGCCCGGCCCGGCCCAGCCTGGCTGCTACCGCCAGAAGTGCGGCGCGTTGGGCTCTGGTCGCCTCGGCGGCCGCTTCGCAACTCTCAACCTGGCTAATTTCCTGCGTCCTCTGGCACCAGGAAGGAGGACGATTCGTCTCCCAGGCTGCTCAAGCTACAGCTGTCAGAGGGGCAGGAGCTTCTGGGAGCCGCCATCTGAAGGTGAGACATGTGGGGGAGACAGGAGCAAAGGTAGTGAGTGAGGTGACAGCCTGCGGTGGCAGGCAGAGGTAGAAGAGGATACCCAGGGTAGATTTGGAAAGGGGCTCGCTTACACTCAGGCTCTCACATTCGCGCCCCCCCCACACACACACACTACAGTCCCCCGCCCTACCTTCCCTGGCTCACTCTAGCAGTAAATGCCCGCCTTCCTTCGGTGGCACAGAGCCCAGGCACAGGGCGACAGCACTGGGGTCTTCTCCTTCACTGCCCAGAGACCCCTGAGAACCCAGAGGGAAGTGGCCCCGCTTCCTCGTCCCCCCCGCCTGTCTCTTGGGTTTGAATTTTTAAATTTACTACCCAATTGGTTCTATTGAATTCCCCTACCAGGAGACAGTTACCGAACTGGGGAGGTGGGGAGGGCGTCAGGGAGGGGAGGAGTGAACCCTAACGGACTGGCGTTTTCCCAGCATAATAGTCCATGAGAGTTGGTTTCTGGAAAGAAAGGTTGATCCACCGGGGAGAAGGGGACTTACTCCTTCATCCAGAGTCCTCCGCTGAACCGCTTTCTTCCCTTCGCGCCGTTTCCGATGGCAGAGGAGTCTGAAAGGTGGGAAGAGGGAATAGGTAGGTGCGTGGATGGAATTTTGTGTTGGAGGAGAGGATGAGGTTAATTGGCTGAATGTGGTTTGGCGGGAAGTTTCTGTGCAGAAGACATTGTGGGGTTAGTGTGGGTGACAAGAGCCAGCAGCTAAGGTCGAAGGGAGGACGCGAACCAGGTCTGAGCGATAGGGGGACCTCCACCCACCCCAGCGCGACCGGCTGGAAACAGCGCGCGCCCCCCCACCCCCAGTCGGGAAGGGACTGGGCGACCGCCGGTCGAGGCGCGGAGGGCGCCGCGGGCGTTGACTTTGCGACGCATGGGGGCGCGGACCGTGGCTCGGACTGGGTGTACGTAGTGCCAGATTTGTCCCGGGAGCTCCGGAGACAGCTTCAAAAAAGGAAGCCGAGGTTCTGGACGCGAATTCTTTTTTGTTTGTTTTTCGTTTTGGCTTGTTGTTGTTTTCCCATCCTGAGACACTACCTTGGTATTCATTCGATCATTAAGAAGGGACAGTGGACGTTTGGATCGTTTGCCCGCACTGTGGGTACGCTCTGGGTGCATAAAGCGGCGTCTTTGCATCGCAGGGCCGCGGGCCGCCTGACTGCAGCTGCCGCGGGCCGATTATTTATTGCGACCGCGCCGGGCGCTCGCTGCTGCCACGCTGTGGTCGCCGCCGGGACCGACGCCAGCCGCAGCCCAGCGTCGTGCAGCCTGGCGCGACTGCTGTGCGGGCCCCTCAGAGACTCCCCAGCAGGCCGGGGAGAGAAGGGTCAGGTGTGGGGGCGGCCTTCGGGGGCTGGCTGAGCGGGAACCTTCCCTGCCTCGGCCAGCCGGACGGGAACTGGCGGCCGGACTAGACTCGGTGCCCCCTTCTCCGTGCAGACTGGTTGCACAGGCCGACTGGCACGTCATGGCCGCTTCTGTCCAAACTGCGCGTCCCCAGGCGCCCCGGGAGTGCACGCTGGTTCCCGGGACGCGGCTATTTTGGGATTCTGAAATCGGAGAGACCACTTGTAGTCCTGAGGCCTGCGTGCCTGGTTGGCCCTGGGAGGACTGGCGATGGCAAGGAAGGCGGTCTTTGGCTTTGGGTCCAGGCGAGGGCCTGCGACGGGCAGAGGCCGCACCTGTGTGCGACCAGCTCGGATCTGGGCTAAAGTTCCGGGTCCGTGCAAGATGGCCTTGGAAGCCCTCCACACACACCTGCGGGTCCCCCTCCCTCCCAGGCAGCGGAGGTTGAGGGGGCTCAGTGGTCAGCACCGCAAAAGGGCAGGCTGTGAGGCTCTGTTCGCCATCCCGCCCGCCCACCCCCTTTGAAGAGCAGCTGAAAGGTAAGTGGACTTTCTGTGTCGTTTTGACCGAGAAGAGAACTCAGGGTGGTCATTCTCACAGTCCCAGAGAGGTGACTGGGGCTCCTGTTTTTGCCTGAGTGGACCTTGGCATATATAATCATGTATATACAAATATCTTTTTCCCCATGAATACTACCTAAAGCTGGTTGGAGAACTAAATTGGTCTCGTGCCAACATGATACCGTTGATATGCACGTCTTGGCTAAAACGTATGGATTTAAATTTAATATACATATATTTTCACCTTTGTGCCTACACAAACTAGAAATGGAATGTTTTGGGCTCCTAGCTGAGAAATCAAATTCTCTCATTGGTTAGGGCAGTTAATAGATTGAGACTCCAGGTCAAATCATAACAAATAATAATAATAGTAATAAACTGTCACCAGCCCCAATGATGGAGAAATGAAAGAAAACTTATAAATGTAAACATTTATCAACATTTTCAAGTGGTAATTATTTTTGTCTTCAATAACAATAGCTTGCTTGAGCTCACTATCATTAGATGGGTTTGTTTAAGAAATAATAATGCAAACATGATTTTCTTTAAACAAAGATTTAAAGAAATAATTTCCTTTTTAATTTGACTCCTGGATTTTTACTTTCACCTATCAGATCCTTCCCATGAAGAAAATCTGAGGGACATTTCCAATTCTAACCTCTCCTACTAGGGCGTCTTTATCTATGAAAAGGAGAAACTTTCCTAGGCTGTATTGATGGGGTGCAGCCCCCATCACAGTCAGTGGGAAAGCCAATTATAGGGGTGCCCTGGTGGGCACTATGGTAACTGACATTAGGCCAACCCCTTCCCAATTTCTTCCCTTTGGGGAGAAGGAATGATAGGGAAAAATCAACTGGAAAGCAAGGAGCAGATTAAGGAAGTCAAGTCGTTGTCAGATTCCTAAGGGGCAATGCCTCCTACGTCCTGAACCCCATCAACCTACATTCGCTAGGGTTTTACAGTCTTATAAACACCCTGCAGAAATTCAGCCAAATCGTATAAATAGCTTTTCCTCAGCCACCACAGAATTGAGGATTTTAAAGCTAATTCAAGGGGTTTTACAAGCTCCACAAATACAGTCATAAAAATGCCACAGGAACGATATCACATTTTACAAAATTAGATTGCTCCGTGTGTTGTAAAAGTCTCGAAGGCACACCTCTCAGGCCACAGTAAGGAGTCCAGGACAGGCTTCTCTGGTCTTGTCTAGGGACAGCTAGGCCTGGGATGGCAGGAAAAGCAGTTCAGAGGATTTCTGTAGCTGGTTAGACGACTGCTCCTGGGCCTGGAGCAACCAGGGGTTGCAGGCCCCGGAGCAGAGCTAGGAGAGGCAGGAGGGAGAGGCACCTAGGACGGCCCTGGCTGTCGGCTGTCCCAGATACCAAGCTCATCAATTATCCCTCTGCCTTGGACCCTGCAGACCTCTGTGCCTTGGCTCAGCCAGGTCCCCTGTGTCACCTGCGCCTCTGGACTGAGGACAGAGAGATTCCACATCTGGATTCTGATCTGTCTCTTGTGTGAGCGGTTCTGGCAGTGAGGGCAGTCCCAAGACACTGGATAAGGGGAGCAGGTCCCAAGGATGGCTTCTGAGTTTAGTGTACTGCCACTCTTCTGTAGGTCCCTTTCTGGTGGAAAACACTGCTTTCTGGCACCTTGGATCCCTGCGTTCAAAGGCAGGATGTGGACGCACAGCTGATGGGGATGCTTTGAGGCCAGGCAGGCCCGGAAACCCGTAGGAACCCAAACAAGACGTGGGGCGGGAGGGGAGGAGGGCGCTCATGAGAAGAGCCTATATTTGGTTGCTTCCTGGTCAGCGTTCTGTGGGCCTTTCCCTCTCCACGAGGTCCAGACCCTTGGTGGGGATGAAAAGGAGGGGGGAATGAGGAGGGATGTACCGATTCCTGAGGAACAGGAGTGAAGAGCAGGGAGGAGTAAAGGCCTGGTTTCTCAGAGCCCCTTCTCCAGCTCGGGAACCTGCACGCACCGGTAGAGGTGCGCAGGGGTTGGAAAAACTCTGGGCCTGGTGGGGAGGGAAGGCCCACCACCGCTGGGAGCAAAGCATCCTTGTCACCACCTCTCCCGTCACGGATTTTCAGGTTTCCTGTTTGGAGGGAAAACCCAGCAAAATCCAAGCAGGCAAAAAGGGGAGGAGGAAAGATCGGGCCTGGCAAGGCCTCTGTGGCGGTCCGGGCGCTGAGCCCCTACCCAGGCCTGGTCTCGTCGTCCCTGCCCGGGCCGTGTCCGCCGCTGGCGTTCGGGAAGAGAGCCGGGCCGGCCGGCTGTGCGCGCCCATTAATCTGCCGGGCGGGCGGGCGGCGGGCGGGCGGGCTGGGGGCTGTTTGTAACTTTGCTGCCTCGGTCGCCGCGGTCCCCGGGGAGCGGGCTCCGGCGCTCACTCCCATTGGCCGCCGCCGCGTCAGCTGGTGTGATTTGCTGCTGTCGCTTTTGGCGTTCGGCCATCCAGAAACAAACCAGTTCGATGACTACTAATAGTTATAGCCAGATGTACTAATACACAACAAATCACAGTCCTGCAGAGGGGTGCGCAAATGAATTCCTATTTTGTGAATCCCACTTTCCCCGGGAGCCTGCCCAGCGGCCAGGACTCCTTCCTGGGCCAGCTGCCCCTCTACCCGGCTGGCTATGACGCGCTGAGGCCCTTCCCGGCCTCGTACGGGGCGTCGAGTCTCCCGGACAAGACGTACACCTCACCTTGTTTCTACCAACAGTCCAACTCGGTCCTGGCCTGCAACCGGGCGTCCTACGAGTACGGGGCCTCATGTTTCTACTCTGATAAGGACCTCAGTGGCGCCTCGCCCTCGGGCAGTGGCAAGCAGAGGGGCCCCGGGGACTACCTGCACTTTTCTCCCGAGCAGCAGTACAAACCCGACAGCAACAGCGTGCAGGGCAAAGCCCTCCATGACGAAGGCACCGACCGGAAGTACACGAGTCCAGTTTACCCCTGGATGCAGCGGATGAACTCCTGCGCGGGTAAGACATTCCCCTGCAGCCTCCCACCCACCCCCATCCCCAAGACAGGAGAAAGAAGGAAAAGGGATCAGGGAAAGAAGGAAGGAAGGAGAAGGCGATAGAAAAAAAGTAGAATGAAATAGAGAGAAAGAAAGGAAAGAATGAACAAAGTTTCTTGGACTTTTCAGAGATTTTTTTAAAACCCACCATTCCCAATAGGGCAATCAGGCCATGGCAGAGAAAAGGCAGAGCGCTAGTGTCCATGTAATGTGACACCTTAGGGAAGGGAGGGGGCCACTCTCACTTTATGAGACACCCACGACAGGGGCAACCTGAAGGGGGGGAGGGCAAGAAAAAAGGAGACTGGATGTGAGGGAGTACGGACCCAACCGACAGCCTCATAGCACCCTGCTAGGCATCACTAACAACTTCACTTTACCTCCCGGCCTCCTCTCCTTTTTGTCCTTCCTAAATCCAATAGATTGAGGCTCCAGCTGGCCTCTTCCTCTTGTCTCCTCAAAGCCTTGGAGGGCCACAACCCCAGCCTCAAGATTTTTACTTTCCCTCTCCTCCCTTCCCTCCTCCCTCTTCCACTCAACTGCTCACTCACAGCCAACTTCAGCCGCCTCTGAGCTTCACACGCCCTCACACTCCTGGCCTGGTGGAGATGTCCCCCATCCTGGGGCCCCTTTGGCACCAGAACATACAGCACAGGGTCCTTCATTTCCAGAAAACCCTGCCCATCCAGAGTTCCATGTTTTAGTCTTGGTTTTCAAAATACTCCACAGGGAATCTCCTGTTTCCTTGGAGCAGGATAGAATCTAATGCTGATTTTACAGCTTATATATAGTGTTTTGTTTTAAAACCCCCCCCCCCCCCTTTTTTTTTTTTTTTTTGCAGGGAAACTCAGTGTTACTCAGGAGGGCCATATAATTTTGGGAGAAATTGCAAGCATTTGACAAGGCTGACCCTTTTTAACTTTCCAAGGATCACACTGAGTACTGACATGCCAGGCCATTGAAACATCCTCACAGAGACTCTGTGTATGAATTTTCGAGAGACTGCACTGCTCACAGGGTTGCACCCATCCACTCTAGACACGCACACTACACCCCCCAAAAAACCACAACTCGGGTGCCCTGAATTAAGAACATTTATTCTATTCTTTCGCTGGTAATGGTTTTCTTAGTAGATTTTTCGAAAGCATCAGCTTCCCACATTAAGTCGTTTTAGGTGAAAACAACAACAACAAAAAATTCGCTTGATGTGAAATAATCTTTCCCAGCCAGTCTGTCATTTGGCCAAATATAGAAGAAGAGAGATTAGAATGGAGATAAGGTAGCTTGCAGCACAGAGGCCTGAGGAGCAGGGCGCGGGGCTGGCTGGTTCTGCTCCGAGACCCTCATTTACCGGCGCCTGGTCATTTTTGCCCCCAGGTGCTGTATATGGGAGTCACGGGCGCCGAGGTCGCCAGACCTACACGCGCTACCAGACCCTGGAGCTAGAGAAGGAGTTCCACTTTAACCGCTACCTGACGCGCCGCCGCCGCATCGAGATTGCCAACGCGCTCTGCCTCACCGAGCGCCAGATCAAGATCTGGTTCCAGAACCGCCGCATGAAGTGGAAAAAGGAGAATAAACTCATCAATTCCACGCAGCCCAGCGGGGAGGACACAGAGGCAAAGGCGGGCGAGTAAACCGTCTGAGCAAGGACCAGGCCAGCGCCACAACCTTCCTTTGCTTTGCCCCCTTGTTCTTGCTGCTCCCCAAATTTTATCCCCGCGCCTGCTCCCACTTTAGGGCTGCAGCTTCAGGGGAGACAGAAGCTTTGCAAGCGTTTGAGCATTTCTTACAAAAACAAAAAACCAAAACCCCACACACACCCGATCTGAGCGGTGAAGCAGGGCGTACTGCACACATGAAGTCTCGCTCCCCAAGTCTGCCCAAACCGGCTCTGGGGCCCCAGGTGGAGCCCCGAATTTGTCCCCCGTTCTTGTAAGAGCGTTAGTTCTGTAAGCCCTGAGCTGGAGCACGGGGTCGCTGCAATCTCGGGGTTTCTAGGGGGAGGAAAGAGCCTTAGGCCCAGCCCCACTTGGGGTCTGGGCATCTCCACCTCATTCCCTGGTTACCAACTCCGGAGGGTACCACCATATCTACTCCTGCCACTGGAAAGAGGGGGCCAAAGGACTCCTGCCACCGGCCTCCCAGGCCACCCCTCAGACAGGAAGAAACGTGAAGAACAAAGGGGTCCCCACCACCACCACCAAGAGAACTTCGCGGCCCAGCGTGCGACCGCCAGTGGAAGAGTTGCAGCCTCAGCCGAGTGGAGCCCACTTGGGCTCGGGTGGAACTTTATAGCTCAGGGAGCGATCTGACAACGCGCAGGCTCCCAGCTCTGGATTCCCGCTCCCGCCTCCGACACAGCGACGGTGCTGCTATCACAGCAGCTGTAAGGAGCTAGTGGGGGGATCCAGGGCCATGGGGGACGCTGGAGTCCTGACTTTCAAACGTGCCAGGGGAGCCTTCGACGCCCGGTTGCCAGCGGGGAGGTTCCCCTTGCCTCTCCGCTCTTTATCGGGTGTACTTTCGTCTTCCGGAGGCCAGGAAAATAACCACGGGGTTACTATGCACTGCAACGACATACTTGTGTTTGCGACCTCGTTTTACTCTTGGAAGTCTAAGCAAGACCCTAACAGTAACTCAGTTCACGGATCCCCAGGTCCCAAACAGCTTCTGTGGTCGCGGGGGAGCCTAGGCCCACTCGTTGGATTCACCGAGAACCTTCCGACTTGGGACCCGGCTGACTGGAGGAAGGGGACCCGCTGGTGAAGATTATCCAGGCTGGATGGATACTTAAGCATATCAAATAGCAAGCTAATGACACGAAAACCGTATTTTCACTAAAGAAAAATCCACCCTAGTCATAAAAGTGTATGGAATTTGACCTCGACTCGGAAAAACACGACACAAAAGCTATCTTTAATAGACGCCTGTCATTTAGGAACGGCAGGGACACTGTCCCTCATGCGCACACAAAAACAGAGCCGTAATTGTAGTAGCTGCTGCTGCTGCTGCTGCTGCTGCTGCTACTACGGGAGGATTTATTTCTCCAATTGGCTAAATGGTCTCCTCCCTTCCCTGAAGGTGATATCTGTATTTTCAAAATTTCGAGCTGCCGGCAGGACGGGCAACACCGAGCCCAATCTCAACACAAAATCAGAGGGACTGTAAAACGGGGGAAATAAAGTTATTGTAAATAAGAAAATTCGAGTCACCATCTCCCCCCAATGCTCTTCATTCTCGCTCGGGCGCACGATCGGCAGCTGACGGCCTCACAATTGGTACATCCTAATGGAACTGCGAGGGAAATGCAATAATTTTGCCATAATGGGCTGTAACCTCAATTCGACCCCGGCCCTTGCTGCCCGGGGTCGGAAGCTGGACGATGCGCCTTGCCTCCAGCGGGTGGCGCTCGAGTCCGACTGAACGGCGGCGGCGGACGACGGGCACGAGCCTGAGACGCGCGCGCCACCCCTCTTGCCTCCACCCAACTCCCCCATTAGTGCACGAGTTTACCTCTAGAGGTCATCAGGCAGGATTTACGACTGGACAACAAAAGCACGTGATTCGAAGTCGTACCCCATATTTGGGTGCCTACGTAGGAGGGAACCAAGTACATGTCCCAGTCATTTCCATAATTCATCATAAATTGTGCAAGGGTGCTATAGACGCACAAACGACCGCGAGCCACAAATCAAGCACACATATCAAAAAACAAATGAGCTCTTATTTTGTAAACTCATTTTGCGGTCGCTATCCAAATGGCCCGGACTACCAGTTGCATAATTATGGAGATCATAGTTCCGTGAGCGAGCAATTCAGGGACTCGGCGAGCATGCACTCCGGCAGGTACGGCTACGGCTACAATGGCATGGATCTCAGCGTCGGCCGCTCGGGCTCTGGCCACTTTAGCTCCGGGGAGCGCGCCCGCAGCTATGCGGCCGGCGCCAGCGCGGCGCCAGCCGAGCCTAGGTACAGCCAGCCGGCCACGTCCACGCACTCGCCTCCGCCTGACCCGCTGCCCTGCTCCGCCGTGGCCCCCTCGCCCGGCAGCGACAGCCATCACGGCGGGAAAAACTCCCTGGGCAACTCCAGCGGCGCCTCAGCCAACGCCGGCAGCACCCACATCAGCAGCAGAGAGGGGGTTGGCACGGCGTCCGGAGCCGAGGAGGACACCCCCGCCAGCAGCGAGCAGGCGAGCGCGCAAAGCGAACCGAGCCCGGCGCCGCCTGCTCAACCCCAGATCTACCCCTGGATGCGCAAGCTGCACATAAGTCATGGTAAAGCCAGTCTTTTTCTAAATCCACGCTACCGCGGGGGCGCGACTCTCGGTCCCCTCTCTCTCCTCTGCTGCCCTCTTTCCCTGCCTATCCCCTGGTCTCGCCTCTCCCAGACCCACGAAACCTCTCTCGGTTCTTCTCCCTCCCTTGCTTTCCTCTTTCCTCTTCTCTGCAGCGTCCAGAGCTCGCAAATGGGGGGGCTGAGGGGAATGGGGAGCGCCGGCTGACTGAGCTCGTGTAGACATTCAAGGGGGAAAGGAAAAAGAAACCCTATCTGGAACCCCAGAGCCCCCGAATGCGCTCCCCAGCCAGACCAGCCGAGCAGGGCGCAGAGAGGTAGAGGATAGCAGTAGGGGCCGTGAATCGGGCTTGTCAGGGCGGATAATTTATGAGGAGCTCTACGCTGGGGAAACAGCGTTACTAATTAGAGCCCCGAAAAGGGGCTTTGGGGGGAATAATCGAGGCGAGAGCCGGCGAGATTCTGAAGTTTGGGGGCAGGAGGGAGAAAAAAAAGGAAGAAAAATAAAGCAGGCGCCCCAAGCGTGCAGGCTGGAACAGAAGGCGACTTGGGGCTGGAACTTTAAGGGTGACCTGGAGGCCACTTGGGTGCTTAGGAAAGGCCCGTACTTTAGTGGTTTTCTGAGCAGTGGGCAGCCTGGGAGGGCTGTTGCCCCTGGCTCAAGGCGCCTGGGGCAGGGCCAGAGGGCAGGAGAGGGGTGAGGGCAAGCCAGGGCGGTCCTCCGGGACGCGGCTCCAGCCTCAGATGGGCCGATTGTTCTCAAGAGTCCAAATCGTATTGTTTTCTCTCTAGAAAGGAAGAGGGAAGGAAATTCGGGAGGGGTGGGCGGGTGTGGAGGAAGGACTTGTTGAGCCTTTCGCCCTCGGTCGCTACTCAGGACCCTGGCTTGTCCATCTGTCGGATTTCAGAAGCCAGAGGTTGAGGAGATGGTGGCTAAACCGCTGACTTTTCTGTTGCAGACAACATAGGCGGCCCGGAAGGCAAAAGGGCCCGGACGGCCTACACACGCTACCAGACCCTGGAGCTGGAGAAGGAGTTCCACTTCAACCGCTACCTGACCCGCCGAAGAAGGATTGAAATAGCACATGCTCTTTGCCTCTCCGAGAGACAAATTAAAATCTGGTTCCAAAACCGGAGAATGAAATGGAAAAAAGATAATAAGCTGAAAAGCATGAGTATGGCGGCGGCGGGAGGGGCCTTCCGCCCCTGAGTATCTGAGCTTTAAAGTTCTGAGCAGTATTAGCGGATCCCGCACAGTGTCAGTACTAAGGTGACTTTCTGAAACGCCCTTGTGTTCCTTCTGTGAAGAAGCCCCGTTCTCGTTGCCCTAATTCATCTTTTAATCATGAGGCTGTTTATTGCCACTATAGCGCCTGTATAAGTAGATCTGCTTTCTGTTCATCTCTTTGTCCTGAATGGCTTTGTCTTGAAAAAAAAAATAGATGTTTTAACTTATTTATATGAAGCAAGCTGTTACTTGAAGTAACTATAACAAAAAAGAAAAGAGAAAAAAAACACACAAAAAAGTCCCCCTTCGACCTCGTTTAGTGCCAATGTTGTGTGTTGCACTCGAGTTGTTTTAACTGTGCATGTGCGTGGAAGTGTTCCTGTCTCAATAGCTCCAAGCTGTTAAAGATATTTTTATTCAAACTACCTATATTCCCTGTGTAATTAATGCTGTTGTAGAGGTGACTTGATGAGACACAACTTAACTTGTTCGACGTGTAGTGACTAGTGACTCTGTGACGAAAACTGTGACTCCGAGCGGTGTGTCCCTGCGTGCCTTTGTAGGACCCTTTGCACGAACTCTGGAAGTGGCTCTTATAAGCGCAGCTTCAGTGATGTATGACGTTTTTGTGAACAAAGTTACAAATATTGTCCAAGTCTGGCTGTTTAAGCAAACTGTGATCAGCTTTTTTTTTTTTTTTTTTGTATTTGTTTTTAAGGAAAAAATACTGACTGGAAACAACAACAAAAAATAAACTTTCTATTGTAAGTTCTCTTGGTCTGGTTTGTGCCAACTAGTGAGTGGCTCTTGATGCTTTCCTGCTTTCCTGTCTCTCTGTCCAGTCTTGGGAGCTGGGGAGTAAGGCCACCTGAGCAGCCTGCCTGTGCTAGGAGGCTTCAGCACAACACCCTGACCCGTCGCCTCCCTCCCTCTGATCCATCAGAAAGTTCAGGGCAGAAAGGGAAAAAAGTTGCAGGCCAATTCAAAGCCTGAGTCTACCTTGCTCATCTCTAAAGGAAAAAAAAAAAGTTAACTTTCTGGGTATAAAAAGGAGAGGAAGAGAGAGAAAGAGACAGCAAGGACCTAGGGCTTTGTTAGCAGCCCTCAGGGCCCACACAGATCCTGCCTGCTTCCTAAGACTGTCCTGGGCCTCCACTTGCTGGAGAGGCTGCTATTCCAGGTT